CAGTTTCCTTGTTGAACATGGTATCCACCATGCGCTGCAACTTCTCGACGGACCATATCTTCATACCCAAGCTCTTAGCCTTGTACAGGATATCACCACGGTCGGACTTCTCGAGGGCGGCATCGAAGATGGACTTCTTGTTCTCCAGCTGGGCCGGGTTGACGGTGCCTTTGTGGGAGGATGAACTGCCATCGAGGTCGGCGGGAATGGAACGCGTCGTGATGACATGGGTGACTTCCCGAGAGAAGAACTTGACTTCTCGCTGGTGACTGTTAGCACGACGGATGTAGGGAAGGGTATGCCCGACGTACGGAACCTAGGACGCGTGCCCTGTTCAAAAGTTTGTCTTTCTGGGGTTCTGAGACGCTGTCAAAGTAGAACGCAAACTGGGGAAACAGCTTGCGGTAGTGACGCTGCCATTGTCGAATCGTTTCTAGGTCGTGAGATGCACGCTGTGCGGCCTGCTTGGACGGGGCCTTGGTCTCTCTTGCTGCTTCCAGCTTGCGAGTCAAAGCCGTGGGCTGGGCCCCACTCCGACGAATAAGGCCGTGACGGCGAGCTTCAGCATCATCGACCTCGATGAGCTGTTTTTTGGGTGGTGGCTGGCCATAGGGGACATCGCGTTGCTCGCTGGCGTGGGAGCGTTGGCGCTTTCCTCCTATGGCAGTCGCGCGTAACGGGGAGTTGGTAGCGTTTTGCAGGTTGGCGAGGGGGACGCGCCGGTTCGACATGACTGAAGGAACCTGGGGCGACGGAGGGACAGCCACTGCTGCCATACGTAGGATAGCGGCTGAGGGTGCTTCGAGGTGTAATAGATGGGCGTGGTGGGAGGGGCACGTGTGCGTGTAGCTCACGACGCGACGGTACAGGCACGTCGAGGTTTTCTAGCAACGCGTAGCAGCCATGTCGATGCGAGGGAGCTTCAGAGACCGAGGGAGATGTTGACGACACAGCAATTGAGCGAAGGTGAAGCGCGTTGCAGACGTCGATCTGCTTTCATCGACCAAGGAAAGAGTGTCTTTGTTTGGTCCGGAGGCTGGGTACAGTATGATGCAGGTGCAGGCTAGAGCGACTGTGGTTAGCCTGAAAATCTCGCGCGAACCATCCACAACATCATTTGCCTAGACAACGACCTGGGCAAACAATACACCCTTGCCGACAACACCGTCAGTGCGCCCTGCACGACATCTCGCGTCTGCGAATCTCCCACCGTATTGCTGGCTCACGATTCAGCGTATCAGGGGAAGATTTGCAGCTTCTGCATGCGGCGCGCCTCTGCTGCTTGCACTGACGCCGACCCCACTTCTCCTGTCTCCTGTCCTGGGAGTAATTCGACGGCGAGCGCTGCACCATTAGGCCCGTCTCATTTCGCGTCCTTAGGCCAACACTGGCTGGTGGAAAGCTCCCGCGTCTTCCATTTCCATGGGACCGTGACAGCTTCAAACTTATCAAGGGTCTGGATGATGGAGGCTTTTGTGGGTAGCCGGAAGTGTCACCCACCTCGGCCGCGACTTTGTTCTATGGGCCGCAAAACACCGGAAGCGTCAAGAACATTGCATACGGAAATAGACAAAACACACACATACAAAGACGTCAAGTCGGTGACGTCCGTCCTAGTGCCGCCGTGTATTTATCAGGTATTTCAAGAAGCTGATTTTCAGCAGAGTATACTATGTGATGACATGGACTCTGCATATACGGTCACAGTTGACCCTGAAACAGTAGGTCTGCTGTCGCATACGCTCCTACACACTCCTTCTAGGCCTCTCAATTTTTTCTCAGACCCTCCTTCGTTCTCGCGGTTATCATATTCTCGGTTTCCAGCGCTGGCTCGTCCGGGGCTTTGCTACCTTACCACTACACGCCAACCCAGGAAAAAACTGAACACCCTAGAGCCTACGTCGATGTTAGGTTACCTACTTTCTAAGGTTTTGTCTTAATGTAGTCTGCAAACCTGTTACTTGTATAAGATGACTATCCACTATACCCTTTCGATGTTACTTCGTCTGCTGTTTCTTTCATGATCGTATAGAATATGTGGAAGCAAGAATCCTGCGAATATAAACAAGCGTAGACATCGGCCTTGTACATCAACATCATGAATGTAATACCAGGTCGTCCATTCTTCCTCCGCGTCTTGCTCAGTGAAAGGTTCACGCATACGGATGGTGACCTGATCATTCACTTTGACTTGGCCAAACGCAAACAGAGAGCGCCTATAAATTCTCTGAACTGCGTGTTTCTCGCACCTCCACTCTCCTAACTCGAATATATACAACATCGTCACCATGACCGATTCGTATCGTCCGCCGTACAATTCCAACCGACAATGGACACCAGCGTCTGCACCTTCTGAGGCTGCGCTCAACTACGACGACGCGGATGTGAACCGTATTCCGATCAATCCTCGCCGTTCCAACGCCGCAGTTCCAGCTCAATCATCACGGCTATGGGACGAAGACCTGAACTCCCTCATGCACCGCACTATCCGCGCCTACGATCTCGTCGTGAACTACGTCCGCGATTCCCACGGCGGTACCCGCTGGTCACGCGAGGACATCGATCGCGTTCGAGACTTCGGCGCCTATCTGCATGGCGACGTCCGCGATTTGAAGCACTGGAGCGAAGTGGTAGCAAAGGAGGGGGAACAAGATGCGTACACTATGGACAAGATCCGCGATGACGTCGAGAACCTGCGGAAATACTGTGAGCAGATTCAAGCCTTCATCAGAGATACCGAACGTGTTCCTCTGCGCCAACGTATGACACGAGACGATGGAGTGCAGGCTGGCCAGAATGTGGATCATGGTCATGGTTTTGGTGGTGGTAAGAACATCTTCCGTGGAGGTGGCGCCCTAGGTACTGACTTCTCGTTGTCTATAGACACCAACCAGCTCGTCGAGAGCACTCAAGAAGGCGAGGGTATGGACGTCGAGATGAGTACCGACCTGGAGCAGAAGCCTGAAGTCGTCGATCCGACACTTAACCCACGGCAGGCAGACTGGGCGACTACACCTTCAACGCGATTTGCTTGGTGAACGGTCGTACGTATTCGTACCTAGGTAGCCTTCTCAGACGTGCATTTTTGCAACAGATACTGTAGAACGAGTGCTAGACTAGTTCACGTAGCACGTTGGCGTCGTGTGACGAAGCAAAGATATCCAAGTGTTCCTACACGTTTTCCACGTCCCAGCTGATTGGTGCTCGGTGCTCGGCTATCTCAGGACCCCTGCGCAACGGCCTGCACCTGTGGTGTGAGCGACTCAACGCTTTCACATGCTTGCAACTCACAACTCTCGAAAATAGCACGGATTCGGAATAATGCCGTCTGCGCCAAACGAGGATAGCCGCTATGCGGCGGCTGTCGCAGCTCCAGGCTTATCTCGCATATTTTCTTCATCTTCGATCTCGACCCATTCCCATTCGGCTGCTTCCTATTCGTGTGCGCTCGCGGAAGAGTCTGGGTGAAGCCGCCGCTGGGATCTACGACCGCGCAGCTTGGTGGATACGCCCGGGAGATAAGCCGGAAGTATGCTGAGGGTTGAACGCGCTGATATTTGCACGTCGACTCTTGACACGCCGTCTCTAATGGAAGGGGAGGAGCCCAGCTTCCGACCCAGTATGCTCTACAGCGTCCTGCCCACCGTCGTATCGAACCATCTTCCGACGATACCTTCTCTCCGACAATCTCTCAACGACGTACGAAACCGCGGAACACATAGTAAATCAGCCTCAGTCGACGAACTACCACAGCCCGAGACGCCTCCTCCAGGCTATACGTCGATACCCCCGAGTGGTTCGGTCACACCGCTTAGACTGTCAGTTGCGTTGGGCGAGGCAGACGTCGAGTTCGTGGACGATGGATTGGATAGACCTGGCTCTTCAGGAAGCGCACTTCCACAGCCACATGGTGCTCAAGAGAGTGGCTGTGGTATCAGGTGGAAGTATGCGACTCTAGGTAAGGACTGTTGCTCGTGAATGTTGATCTTGCATACTCATATTCTACAGGAACAAGCCTTATGGCTCAAGCATCTCGAGAATCAAGCGAATCGATCAGTAGCCCCGACGAGACATCCGCGACGCTGACCCGACAACTTTACATACACGGCATAACGTACCTACTGCGAGGGCTACCAGCGAAGCTCACCCCAGAAGAGACGTTGAGCATACACGCGGCCCTGCCACAAGACGTAGTCGACACAACAAACGACGCGAATACGCACGCGTTACTTCCAGTCTCGCAACGCAGCCCTAGTACTCAGGGAGCGCCTCCACGAGACCCCACGATCCTGCACCGTTTGACTGCCACCCTCGTCCTCCAGTCCTTCATCCTCATACAGTTCCTTCTACCGTACATCAAGCTATTCCTATCACACACCTACCAGTTCGAGAGGAAGCATCAGATCACCAAACGGCTCGTCAATACAGGCGTCGCGACTGTCGATGATATCGGACGAAAGACGCTGCGACTGTCGCAAACCGTGTGCCAGATGAACGACGGGATGGTAGGACAAGCGATCAATGAGATGACCATTTGGTGGGTCAGAGGCGTCACCGGAGGTGTTCAACAAGGTCTCGCAGAGGGATTGCAAGCTATGAGGATAGCTGAGAGCCAGCGGGGTGAGGAGAGTACGGGGCGGATCAACTGAGTATTTGGACTGCATTAGCTATGGCGTTAGGCATTTGCATAACTTGATAGACTGACGAATTAATGATGTGCATCGACTGTTCCGTCCGAGCTGCTGGACCCTGATCATGTTCTACACGTGATCAGCCGCTTATCGTTATCGGGCGGACTTCCTAGCGCGTTGTCGACGCACGTCCCTTGGAAAAGTGCAATGGCAAAGTTTCTAGTGGTAACATTCTAACGAGTACACGCCATTCTTTTCTCCCCATTCGCCGTCTTCCTTCAGGCGCACACGCAGAGTACTCTAGTTGCTCAATCTAATCGTTCAATATACCCTTTGTTACGAACGAGTGTGTAGCATTACCCGCACATCATGTTCGGCGCAGTGAGAAGATGTCCCGCGACCCTCGCGAGGAATCTTGCCTCCATCTCAACCAGGACCCTCCGCACACCCTTCCCTAATACCTCGAGCGCCTTAAGAATACCATTACAGTCAGCGCGCCTCGGAAATGCCTCGTTCGCTGGTTTCCACAACAGTGCCGCAAAGTGGCAACAGGAGGCCCAGCAGAGCATTGAGGAAGATGGTCCCGTCACAGAGTTCCAGGACCTGGCCACACGCGGCCTTGTTCACCCCAACCTAATCAACACTATCACGAGGCAAATGAAGCTCACGACCATGACGGACGTGCAGTCCAGGACCATCAACGAGGCGCTGAGCGGGGTTGACATGTAAGATCTTCCTTCAATTATAACTTCAATTCGCTAACATCCGGCAGCATCGCACAAGCAAAGACCGGTACCGGTAAAACACTCGGTTTCCTCATCCCTATCATCCAACGAATTATCGCGAACGACCCCCAGCTCGGCGAGAAGGTCAGAGGATACAAGCGCGCCCGACCAGACGACATCCGTGGCATTGTCATCTCGCCAACCCGTGAACTGGCAGAGCAAATTGCTGTCGAGGCTAAGAAAGTAGTCGCTGGCACGGGCATCATCGTGCAGGTTGCTGTCGGAGGCACACAGAAGAGGGCTATGCTTCAAAAGACTCAGCGCGAGGGGTGCCATCTCATGATTGCTACTCCCGGACGACTGATGGACATCCTCTCAGACCCTTACTCCGGTATCAAGGCACCAAAGCTCAGAGCATTGGTCATGGACGAGGCGGATCGTCTCATGGACGACGGTTTCCAGAAGGAGATTGAGGAGATCAAGAACTTCCTTCCCGACCCAGCCGAGGTCGAACGCCAGAACCTCATGTTCTCCGCTACTATTCCCCGCGATGTCGTCAACCTAGTTCGCCAGATCATGCGTCCCGGCTTCCACTTCGCCAAGTGCGTCGATGAGAACGAGGAGCCAACACACCAGCGTATCCCGCAAAGACTCGTTCACCTGAACGGTTTCGAGAACGTCATGCCCACACTTTACGATCTGATCCTCCAGTCACAACAGAAGGCACAGGCTGGTGAAACCCGACCCTTCAAGGCCATCGTCTATTTCAACAGCACTGCTGAGGTAACCCTCGCAGCATCAGTTTTCTACAAGCTCAACGGCGGCTTCAAGCGCAACACCCCTCTTTCTGGCACCAGATGCTACGAGATCCATGCCAAGCTCACTCAACAGCAACGTTCAAGGGCTGCAGATGACTTCCGTCTCGCAAAATCTGGCATTCTCTTCTCCTCGGATGTAACAGCCCGTGGAATGGATTTCCCTGAAGTCACCCACGTCATTCAGATTGGTCTCCCCCGTGAGCGCGACTCCTATATCCATCGTCTCGGTCGTACTGGACGTGCCGGCAAGGAGGGCGAGGGCTGGTTACTCATCTCACCCTTTGAGAAGCAAGAAGTGCGCCGTCGTCTCCGCGACCTGCCTCTTGTCGACGCCACTGATATGCTCGAGACTGCCACCGTTGACATGAGCGAACCGGCCGAGCTACCTGAGAACGTCGCAAAAATTCTCTCTGATACCGTCGAGGCACACAAGAAGGTCTACCCCGACCAACTCGACGCCGCATTCCGTGGTCTGTTCGGAAGCTACCAGTGGTATGGTGACAAGCAGGGTCTGCTAGAAGGTGCGAACCGTCTGGCCGAGTTTGGCTGGGGCATGCCATCCCCACCCCCACCACCTGCTAGCCTCTTCTCTGGAGGCCGCGGACGTGGCGGCGGTGGCCGTGGAGGCTTTGGTGGAGGACGTGGCGGCGGCGGTGGCTTTGGTGGCCGAAGCGGAGGCTTTGGCGGTGACCGCGCCGGCCGCAGTGGAGGTTTCGGAGGTGATCGTGAAGGCCGCAGCGGAGGCTTTGGAGGCGACAGAGGTGGTCGACCTGGAGGATTTGGTGGTGACCGTGAAGGCCGGAGCGGAGGCTTCGGTGGTGACAGGAGAGGAGGCGGCGGCGACCGCAGAGGAGGAGGTGGTGGTGGCTTTGGCGGCGACAGGAGAGGAGGCGGCGGCTTCGGTGGTGGTGACAGGCGTGGAGGCGGCGGTGGCTTCGGTGGTGACCGACCAAGGAGAGAGGCCCGCGAGTTCTAAGCAGTTACCCAGCTGTTGGAAGGAACTCCTGCCCCGCGTCCTTGAGATGTAAGTCTGTCACACCTTCCGTCTCGCCTTTTTTTCCTTCTCTTTCTTGTACTATATACCTGTATACCCCCCCACAGCAAGCTTGGAAACGAGGGATGATGACGGAGACATGTCATTGTATCGATACACACTGGTTGCATTGGGCGGCGTTTACAGGATCATGTCCCGCTCCAAAAAACTGCAGCAGCGCATGTTGTTGTCGCCGCAGCGATCTTTTTGGTTATGGTTGGTAACGATAACGTATAAACAATCTCCATTCATACTTCTGGAGTTGGTTGTTGATGTAAAGGTAGTTAGTTGGTTTAGGTTGGTTTGGGTTGAAGGAAAAGTTTTAGTTATCTGAGAAGAGAGTGTTTCGGGTTGATGGATGTGTGAAGGAGGTGATGTGTGTATGCTGTTGATGGTGTTTCTTTTTAAAGGCATGCTGGGTATTTGATGGAGGTAGTAGTAACTACTACGTTGAAGATCGGAAGAACTCTGCTTTTGGTTTATCGAACCCAGCGCAAACGTATGCAAGATCTTCTTCCTTCAATTACCTAGATATCCTCCGAGTCTCCGTTGTAGTTACACTAGCAACACGCGTCAGCAACGCAAGATGCTCTGCACTGCAAAGTCGGCCCGTAAATACAGACACACATGCCACGACAGACCCCGAGAATCCAAGCTATGAGCTAACAGAATTCCGTGCTTCCTCTCCCCACCAATTTCCCATCCATTAGCCATGCAACACCGTCTACACGTCTTCAACAACAAGATTATATATCCCATAATCCCATAATTATCGAACGATTGCACCCGCGCATGGTCATACAACATCCAAGCACAATGTGCGAACAGGCATGTACATGGCGTGTGCCCGCATAGGTGTGATAACCACTAAGATTACCCCACCTGTGCGGCCACACGCTTTATGCAGACCTTTCGCGCATTGTGGTTGTGATTGAAATCTATTGTGTGTGTTGCTATCGTTTTTTGGTATAGTGACTGTGGGTGTTTCTACTGGCTGTTTGTTGGTAGCGAGCGAGCGAGCGGTATGGAGCGGAAGGAAAGCCTAGGTTCGGATCGAGATGGGGAATGGTGGGTCTTTTTGGGATGAGTTGGCATGGTTTGAGGGGGTGGGAGAGGGTAAGAGGGGTCTTTTCTTGCACTGTGTATGGGATGTAGAGATAGGTGTGAGTAGCTCACTAGATATTGAGTTTGGTGTTTAAGGTTTGCATCTTTTTGTTAGTCGTCAAGGTGGTAATGCTCGTAAGTAAGTAGACAAACCCTGGTGTGCGCAGTTATGTCAGGCACAATGTGTATATCCTCCACAGAGTGCAGAACAACGCTTCGTCTCCTACATAACTCCAAAGAAGGGGAACTGATCACCAATAAGACCAGGAAACGCACTATCCACACACCGCACTACAACAAATCCGACTTCTCCTTCTCCTCATCAACCACCGTTCTAAACTCCTCAAACGCCTTCTTCTCCATGGGATACGTATGTTCCGTTACCGGGTACTCCCTACTCTTGACCTCATCCCTATACTGTGATATCGCCCGATGCGCCTCCTCCCACACATTCCCGTACTGTTTCACAAACTTGGGCAGGAACCGTCCAGGTGGGAAGTTCCCCAACATATCAACCTGCACGAGCACCTGACCTGAACAGCCATTACCCGCTCCAATGCCAATAGTAGGAATACGCAGTTCTCTGGTAACCACAGCAGCGACTTCAGCGGGCACGGCTTCTAGGACGACGGCAAAAGCACCGGCTTCCTGAACGGCGAGCGCATCGTCGAGGAGTTTCAAGGCGGAGTATGTGGATTTGCCTTGTACTCGGAAACCGCCTAGAGCGTTTTGGCGCTGAGGTGTGAGGCCGATGTGCGCGAGGACGGGGATGCCAGCAGACGTTATCTTGGCTATTGTAGGAGCCATCTCCTTGCCGCCTTCCAGTTTGACTGATTTGACGCGGCCGATCTTGATCATGCGGATGGCGGATTCGAGGGCTTGGGCGGGGGATATCTCGTAGGTTCCCATAGGGAGGTCGCCGACCTGGGGGTTGTTAGTGGGACTGGCGAGTGTTACATGAGGGGTCTGGGACGTACTGTGAAAGCGCCTTTTGTTGCGCGCGCAACGGATTTGCAGTGGAGGAGCATCTCTTCCATTAGCACTTCGCTGGTGTCTTCCATGCCTAGTGCTACCATGGCTAGACTGTCTCCGACGAGTATCATGTCCATGCCGGCGTGGTCAGCGACGTGAGCGCTGGGGAAGTCGTGCGCGGTTATCATGGTGATGGGCTCGTTCTTGCGGTAGAGACTCTGCAGCGTGTTGAGAGTGACAGGTTTACGGGTATTTGCTGGCGCAGAGCCCAGTGGAGAATGTGAACTCCATCGGATTTGTGCGGAAGGCAATATGGTTCGCGATATCGATGGCAGCGGCGAGTATGCACGTGGTGTTGTTTGAATATGTCGCGAAGACGTTCGCAGCACGTTCATGAAGGCACGCGACATGGCGGCAGTGTCGCGGGTGTGGTTGTGGTGGGTATTTTGGGCGGCAGAAAATTTGTCAGAGCCCCTGAGGACGGTGTGGAGGATTGTTCGTAAGCCATGGTCCTAGGGCGGGATGGGTGTTGCTTTTAAGCAACATGTGCAGAGAGCTGCGCTGAAGATTGTATACCTAACCTTGGAGTTTTGGAAGAACCGAGGGTCAGCCTGCGCCCAGACGCCAGGGGTCTGGATGTGCTCTGATTGTCTTCGGCGGGTCGATTCTTCGGTACGCCCCGCCTTTTGCTTGCGACTATGTACTGCATTGTTCCTTCCCTAATTCCCTGTATATGTCTCTGCTTTCAGCGTTGTGCCTCAGTCGCAGAGAGCGTCGTTCGGACCGGCGGTGAAGGCCTCAGGCGAGGATCTCGGGGAAGCTGCGGCATTGCTCCGCAGTGATTGGATGTCGGTCCCAGCACCCTCAGTCTCGGTATGCATTGAACTTTTACTATGTTCAGCTATGCAGTCGGCATGAGCTTCGTATATATCTTGGTTGATTCAGACGGAATTGAAGATTTCTTCGTTCTGTTAAGGCTGGAGTGTCCAGTCAGATCAGTCGGGAAGCAGCGCGTCTTTGTCTGGTAAGCTCGGTAAGAACTGTCCCACTTCAGAAAAGGCGAGTACCTCTCGGTATTCCAGCTGTCTGTATGCACCATCGTAGATCACTTCAGGGCGTTCTGTTGTGGATCCAAGTGATGGTTATAGACGGCTACGCGTGGCACACGGTGACGTAGCCTTTGGAGTCATCCTATCTGCACAGCTTGCGAACCGACATCTGGGCATGTAAGTATCTAGGTAGAGTCAGTGATAATGAGTATTCATGATGACTAGAGAGGACGCCGTTATGAATGCACGAGGCAGAGATACGCGGTCGCGCCGTGGTCTCGGCGATGACTTGCCCGGCGAGACGTGCGCAAGCGTGACATGCCGGTATCGAGCTCGTGATCGCGACTACCGCGACCATCATTCCCGCCTCACTGTTCCTGCCCTTTGACACGTCCGACCCCAAAGACGCGACAACAACACACATTCACCGATCGACATCCTTACCAGGGTTCAAACAACCACAGTCTGCCAACAAAGCACACACCAGCTGCCAACGAACGCGCCCCTCATCCGCTATCGATAGCCCCGCCGCCTACCTCACGAGAGCTCTCACTGCGAGCTGCGTACTGCCGTATACAACTTGAAGACAAGCGGAAGACAAGGGAAGAGCAGCATCCTTTACAGGTCGCGATATCAGGAACGCCAAAATGAGTTCGCCAAAAAGACGTATTGAGACGGATGTATGTGGAGACCTTCACCCCGGTGGTTGCTGAGCAAAGGACAAGAGCTAACCGAGGCCTCTATCCAACCATACAGGTCATGAAGTATGTTGCGCATGGTTCCGGCTGTAAGAGAGAATGCTAACATGCGAACAGGATGTATGTCGACCAACTTACCGCCTCCTTCGCGCCACGCGCCTGGCAACCACATGGCGAACCCCGATAGCTGATTCAAGGCAGGCTCATGAGCGACTACGAGGTGACTCTGGTCAACGACAATAGTGAGTAACATGACACCCATTCCTGTCGGACACACAGCTAACATCCCGTAGTGTCAGTCCTTCCTACCATTCGAATCCGCATTCGCCGAAACGACGCTGACACACCACAGGCAAGAGTTCTACGTTAGGTTTAAGGGCCCAGTAGAAAGTAAGTTGCGCACGCGCCATGCGCATCATCATGTGCTAATCAAGGACAGCGCCATTCGAGGGCGGACTTTGGAAGATCCATGTCGAGTTGCCTGATCAGTATCCCTATAAGAGCCCTAGCATTGGCTTTGTGAACAGGATCTTCCACCCCAATATTGACGAACTGTACGAACTATACCTCTGTTTGGCTAATTTGGAGAATAACCGCTTACTTGTATAGCTCTGGCTCCGTCTGCCTCGACGTCATCAACCAAACATGGTCACCAATGTACGACATGATCAACATCTTCGAAGTCTTCCTTCCTCAACTCCTGCGATACCCAAACCCGACCGATCCTCTGAACGGCGAGGCCGCAGCCCTTCTTATGCGCGAACCTAAGAGCTACGAAGCCAAGGTGAAGGGTATGTGTACAAGGGTGAGTCGTGTGAGCCAGGCTAATGTACATCTAGAATACGTCCAGAAGTACGCCAACAAGGACACTGCCGAAGACTCCGACAAAGACGATGGCGATGACGACGAGATGAGCTCTGTCGGCAGCTACGAGTCAGGCGATGAAGATGAAGCGGCGGGCAATATGGAAGACATCTGAGGCAACCCTTCTTCGGGTGCTATCGGTCTCCTTTGTATTGTCCACGACCTTTCTTCTTCACTCTACTTCCATGGCTGGACGTTCACGGCGCTGATATGGCGCATATAAAGGCCACATTGCTACATATTCCCCTGACATGTGGCTGCTTTACGGTTTGGTTCTGGGATTGGATCTCTCTGTTGGCGTTTGTGTCTTGCTTTTGAACTCCATAGTAGGCTTGTGACTAGGATCATTTCCTTCGTCACTCTTGTGTAGGATTGGTCGGATGACCTTTTCGATCTTATAAGTTGAGGCCGATGTTAGAGGTACTGTATGCTATTACCTGACATTTCCTCTCACCACTCGTCTTTCTCAACTCTCACCTCAATTCTCTTCTCATATCCTTGTCTTAAGACTCTTTAACTCACTCACTCTACTCATTTGCTACTGCTTCCGTTATTTCGCACACAACACATGCAATAAGTATCGCACTCAACCCGTACCTGCCACATGAACGGATGTCTGCACGTGGGACAGTTCCTATATATTGCCGCGAACTACTTTTACTCTTTATTGGCTATTACACTCCCTTCCTACCGTATCTCAGGATATATACATGCTATCTGGATGTCCGCCGGCGTCTCACCGCTCCACGCTACCAGCCAACCGCCTCTCCTCACAGTGAAGGCGAATCACGTCCATATCAAGCTCTACCGCTTTCTTCCCCGCTCCTCGTCTTCTTCACCTCGAAACAGTTTTCGCCATGCGGGGGTGCAAAGTTCTCGTCGCCCGGCCCGAGCGCGTCCGCGTCCGTTTGTATATAAACACCCAATCGAGCCATCACAACAACACCTCGACGCGAACGACAATTTTTCACAGCGCACAACACGTTTACTGTGAGCATCAGCTATATACCAGGTCAGAGTACGGAGTTCCCCTTGCATACCCGGGATCTTCGTGGTTTGTGTGCTAAATTGATAGAGCGATAGGCAAGGTCAAGATGGTGTCTCACAACGAGGCAGCCAGTCGTCACGACAAGCGTGCCAGGGAACGTCCGGTACCCAACGCCAACACCGGAGTAGGTGTCACCAGCATTGGAGCTCCAACTAACTCAAGGCGCTCAACTGGGTACCTGGGTCGGAATGGCCGTCATGCTGACAGCAGCCGACGCAATTCGGCTCCGGGCACTGGTCTTCCTACTGTATCTCGCCCACAGAATGATCGTGGTCTCAACTATCATGGTAACCCAAACGCATCCTGTGGTCTACTGCTACTAGCTGCTAACACCAGTACCGGTGCCGTCCGCAACGAGGCCAGCCCTGAGCCTGACGACAACGCGTTCACTACGCCCACCAACCGTCGCATGGCCAAGTCCAGTCCCACTGGCTCGCCTCTCTCGTTCAGTGGCTCACGCCTGACGCGCCTTCTCCCCGACTCACAGCGCACGCCTTCTCCTATAGCACCCCTTGGCCGCGAGCCACCCGCTGCCATGACCATGTCCGCAAGCCCGATCCGCATGTTCAATCGCCCTAAGGGCAAGGGCAAATCGGTCGAAGAGCAGTACGTTCTGCCCAGTCCTCCCGGCTCTAACATCACGGTCCCCAAGCGAGACAGTTCCAGGAAGCGCTCGAACAAGTGGGCCGTCGACAGCGCTGACGACGATGCCGCCAAGCGAAAGCTCTCAAACCCGAACGCGATCGCTGTCGTCACTGGTCGAAAGATCTACAAACCTCGCCAGAAGCCTGTCTCAGAGCGCCCCATCCTCAGGATGCGCGGCGACAGGGAGCAGAGGTACCTGTGAAGAGCTAATCCAAGGGGAAAGGATGACGGGAGTCTCAACTAGACAAGAGCTGTGTGCTGGATCGCTGTTTGCTGGTTTCCGAGATGCGACGCGATCGATCCACAGTAAGTTTTTTCTTCCTACATGTCTCTCTTCAGCGTTCTGCCAGTCATTTTTCTACGCATGCGCTTTTCTTCGCTTTTTCAGTTCTATTCTGGGAGGTCAGCGGGGGTCGGTTGTATGTGCTGGTTATGGCGATGGTGGAATATGGATTGGTTCTGTTGCTTGTGAGTGGCGCTTCTCTTCGGTCAAACGGACAGAATATGGGGATGTTGATTAATGGGTCTCGGGGGCTTGGATCTGTGTCTTGTGCACAGGTTCTTATGACTTTTACGATGGCGTTACGGATGGGGGACTGAGATGGATGATACCCTTTGCCTTTTACTGGAGGAGCACTGGTGGATTTCCTAGGTTCGGATATGAGAGGTTCGGTCATACGTAGGCTACCTTGTGTGGCGATCTGCTTGGGCCGAGGGCTCCGAGTAGTATCAATCGAGACGTGAATCTCAAATCTTCTTCGTGGGTGTGATGTATGTGAGAGCGCCTTCCTTACGGGCTGCCAAGGCACTAATCCACATGTTACTCACGCAACTTCCGCCTTCCTCTTTCCTACCTCATTCACTCATCTCAAAACATCGGTACACAGTATTCCCCAAGCCATGCAAGGCCCACAGCAAGGCTCACAGTGTCGCTCCCATCACCGCGGCTCTGCCATGCACTCAATTCACGATTCGGCGGATGAACCACGCCCAACACCTTCATGACGTACCCCCACACGTCCTTCGCAACTCAATACCGCATATTCGATATGATAAGCGCAGTGCTCCAAGTCTGCCTCAGTGCGCCGGCAGAGTGGCGAGGTCGCTACCCCGCCTGCCCTGCATGCATATGTCCAAGATGGTGACTGCCATTAGCCGCTGGTTGGCAGAGCCATGCAGGCTCAATAAAGCCAACAGTTCACCGGTCAATATGCACGTTCGAATGGTTCTGTCGAGTTCTCCTCCCTTCTGCGCTGCCGAGTCGTTGCTGCGCCCATCAAAAGACCATGTTGTGTTTGACCATACTGGCGTTTCCTTCAGAATTTGAATTTCCAGTTTTCTGGCTCCCTCTAAGTTGGTTGAAGCAATCTCTCTGAATAACTTTTCGCCTTCAATCATGGCGGAGATCTTTGGTACTATAGCAGCAGCGGTCACCCTGGGCCCGGTCATTCTCCAATTCGGCCGCGTACTCCGTGACGGAGCCAGATCAGTCAAATTTGCGCGACGCGAACTCGAAGAATTAGTCAACGAGATGAGCATATTCACAGCTCTCTCTTACGAATTCTACAACGCCTGCTCGACCAGAAAGAAACAGACAAAACTTGTCCTGTCAGCCCAGAAACGTTTAGCCGAATGGACTGAAGCAGCTATAGAAGATTTTGAGCAACTATCATACACTGTGGACGCACTGTCTACAGATCCTATCTACCAGCATACCGCTTACCAAGTCGCCCGCGCCCATTACGATTGGTACCGTAGCAAGAGCTATCTAGAATACCTACGTGCCTCACTTAGCGTAGCGAGACAAAGCATGAACGGCTTTACGAATGTCTGCAATATGGAATTGCTAGACGAACAACTTGTGTACCTCAAGTCAGTACTCACTACTCAACAAAGAAGGGAGATAGAACAAGAATTTGGCATGCCGGTGGAGAAGCGCACAAAGGTCATACAAAGCATCAGGTATAGTTGAAGGCCGCATCAGATAGCCAATGATGCTGACTTTAAACAGAGACGGACGCGAACTCCAGCAGGTCGAACTACTTGAAAACCTCAGAGAAGCTTCGATTAAGGTCTCAACATTCGAGAAGCAGAACCAACGTGCTAAGCCGGCTGAGCAGACCACACAACTACTGGCATTCTCGGAGTCGGTGACTAAATACGTTGATCGAATTCTACCTCTAGACAAAGATGGCAATAGACCACCTCGTTCATCACCGCGTTCCAGGAAGGGATCTAGCTCACCCCGTCACGACTCATCGCAGACATCTCAATCCACTGCTACTATTCGAACACAATCCACGCAGCCTTCGTACCAGGGTGCGTCAGCGGTAGAATCTCCTCCAACATCTCCTGAGCCCCAGAGCAGCCCGCAAGGATATGTTCCTTCGGAATGGGGGCCGCATATGGATCTATCCATCCTGACTGACAGAATGCATCTCGAGCGATTCAAGCCGCTCAGGCTCACAGAGCCGCTCAAGCCCATCAGTGATAGAACGAAAGGGAGAACGGGTCCAGGTCCAGTCACGCAACAAACGCGAAGCAGCAGCAAGACCTTATTATCTCCATTGAACCTACGTCGCGAGATGGGCGAAAGCAACCCCACAGAGCCCAGTACGCAACCTATAAAGGATATTAGCGCAAGGACCCATTTCCAGCCCGTCACTGTGGAAGAGATTGAGGAAGACTCAAAAGATGAGGCTTCCGAAGACGGCGAACCAACACATGAGCAAGCTAGGAAGGCTGGACCGAGCATATGGCAGGCTACTGGTGCGTTTGGGGGAGATATGCCAAGGGGTCTGCGTATACGACGGCAGAGGAGTCGGTCACCTTGGAAACCTTAGTAGGAGATTGTACACACCGCAAGCGTTTGCACAACTACGAGCATGTCGGTCTGGGGCGAGGAATGAGTCAAGGAAGACCTAGTGAAAAGAGGCAGTTGTGGATGCAAGAACACGTGAATGTTTCAATCAAGATGTATGCGATGATGTATCCAATTCTTCATATCCAGACTGATCCATTGACCATACAACCCGTTCTGTAAGCTTCCAGTGACCGAGCTAATGGATCTTCATCCATATCCCTATCCTTCCAGCGAAACCAACTCGAACCCAAAGAGAGGGCGAGTCGAGGTCTCGAGCCGAAAGAACTGAGATATGAATACCGAGCCAGATGCCGAGCGACTGGCAGTCTACAAGAAAAGCCATAATGCCAAAGAAGGAGAAGAGGACTAACCAACAAGGTAAGGAAAGGAAAACATCCAACCACCGTTCCCATACCCAAAACAGAGAAGAAAGAAACGCCGATACCCAATGCCCGATACCAATGCAATCCCCTCAATCAGCCCATATTCAAAAGAAACACCCTAATGCAACACACCCTAATTTTCATCAAACAGAATACTCAAAACACCCTCTTCTCATCCACGCTCTCTCAATGCACACTAGCCCTCCACCCCTCCAGCGCATTAAAACTAACATCCCCCTCCATACTCTCCTCCCCAAACCCTTCCCAAGGAAGTTCATGCGTCTCATCCCCACTCTCCTCCGCCCCGTGATCCTGTTGCGCGGTGCTCCGCCTCAACTCCACACTCTCATCCTCATCCTCATCAACAAAGCTGCGAATCGTAACCTTCTTCGCCTTCTTCTTTCCACCAGTAGTTACCGATTTCACCGTGTTTGCGTCGTCTTGCTCTTCTTGCTCAGACTGTTGGACAAGGACTTCTTGTGTAAGGTCGTCGAACTCCGCTTCGGTGAGCTCATCTGCTTTTTGGCCTTCGAGCACGTCGTGCAAGCGGTAGATCTGCATGTCTAGCCATTCAAGACGGCGGTGCAGGTCTTGGATTGAGGCGTTGAGGGCGTCGCGGCGGCGCTTGCCCAGACTGGGGTCGTGCTGCTCGAGGAGGGCGCCTTGGACGGCGAGCTCGGCCCAGAGGTGGACGCGCTCGTCTTTGAGGCCTTTGACGACGAGGGCGAGGGCTTCGCGCGGGGACTGTGCGGGACGGAGGGTTGCGTCGGGTTCGTCGGCTGTGCGCGTGGATACAGAGACGAGTTTGGGGACGCGCAGGGGGCCGGTGGCTGTGGTGTAGCCTTCGCGGCGGCAGACGGTGCAGTTGTCGTTGTCGTGGTCTTTGTTGATGGGTTTGCGGGAGGTGGTGGTGCTGAGCTTGATGTCGGGGAGGATGAAGGCGGATGTCATTTCGGTGGGAGCGCTGCGGCGCCTGCGACTGGTGTTGCTGAGCATGGACGCGTCGATGGCTGACTGCTTTGTTTGAGTGGCTTCAGCATCGGCGTCCAAGTTCGACAGGTTGCCAGTGTCTTCCTCGAAGTGGGTGTTGGTGGTGCGCTGAGTGGTGTCCTTGAGTGACGATTTGCGTACAAGGGAGGGTCGTCGTTCGCTCTTAGCAGAAGCGACTGACCTGACAGTGTCCTCGCGAGTTTGGCGCTGCGATCGAACGGTATCCTCGCGGACTGGCTCTTCGGTTCTAGCGGATGAAGCACCATGGCGCTCAGCAGCTCGCTGTTCTTCCAGAGATCGTCGAAGCCTAGCAATCTCTTCCTGAGGGAAGAAGCTCAACTCTGTCAGACTCAGGTCGGCAGGAGGCTGAACGGTTGTGGTCTGCCTCGTTAAAGTGGGGTTTCGTGAGATGCGAAGAGTTGCGCGAGGCGCAAGAGACAGATCGGTCGTCGACTCCACATCACTCTCGGCGCGGGCGTGTTTGTCAGCGGGAACAGGTGCCGACACACTACGGGTTGAGAATCGCGAATGTCCGGTGAACGACTTCCGCGGGCTCTCTTGGTTTGGTACTCCAGCGACCTTGCTGTTGCGGACTTCCTGCTGGACACGATTCCTGATACGCGTACGAGTGTCTTCGCGGCGATAGTTAGGCTTGCGGTGCAGAGTGTCATCAAAGATGTGGTCCGTATCCCTAGTTCTTGAAACGGGGCCAGTGGTATCGTCAAGGTGCTGTTCGCTGTCCCTAGCCCTTCGAGCATTCTCACGCTGACGGATCTTTCGCTGCAACTCCGCCTCTTTCCTGGCCCACTCCTCATTCTCCTCATCTTGCTGAGCTTGCAGCTCGCGAAGCTCGTTTCGAAGGTTCTCGTTGTCCAGACGCATAGCTTCGTTTGTACGCTCTTGTGTCATATCCTCGAAGTGTCGGATGGTGTCGTCGCGTCGGCCAACCTGAGCTCGCAACGAAGCTTCTTGTCGAGACCAGCGCTGAGCCTCCTCTTCGCGCTTTGCCTTGAATTCTGCCAATTGAGCCTTGAGCGACTCGTGGTCGGACTTCAAACGGGCATACTCAGCATGCTCTTGACGCGCCTTTCGCAGTTCCATATCCCTACGAGTCAATTGCTGGGTGTTCTCGTCCTGTTGAGCGCGTACGCGAGCCAACTCGGCATGTAGGTTGGCGTTCTCCCTCTGGGTGGCGTTTGCGGCTTGGTCGAACTGCTGACGAAGCTGAGTTGTCTCCTCGCGGTGGTGTGACTGGTCTTGTTCGAGTTGTTCGCGAAGGTTATCAATCTCCTGGCGGAGCTGCTCGTTCTCGTGACTTAAAGCGTTCTTCTCGGTCTTCAGTTCCTCGCAGGTCTGGTATGCAACGCCCAGCTGGTTCGCCATGTTGTCGCGTTCGGTGCTTAGGCGTTTCTTCTCGATTTCGAGTACGGCGAATTTGCGGTCGGCGCGATCAAGCTTGGTTCGGAGGGTTTGTACTGTTGCGTCAAGACCTAGCCGTTGTCAGTACAGTCATACCCTTCTACATTTTACAGAAACTTACGCGTCTTCTCGACCTTCCAGCCGCTCTTTCCGCCAGCATCAGAGTCCTGCGCGCTGTCGCTTCGTCGCAACTTTTCTTGAGCTTGTGTAGTCGCTCTAAGCTCAATCAGCTCCAGTTCCTGCTCGTCCATCTTCTTGTCCTTCTCCTCACGCTCACGCTCCATGTCTGCGATTTTCTCCTGTAGCTGCTGGAGGGCAGCGAAGATGGCCTTCTCTTCGTCGGGTATGGGCGCGCCATCAATTGGAATATGCGATGGGCGGCGACCACCGTATGGAGGAACAGCGAAGCGTGATCTTGAGGGTGCGGTCTTGGAAAAGACTGGTGTGCCATCGTCGAAGACGCCAGAGACAAGCTCGGTAAGGTTGGGGATGTCGGGCAGAATAAAAGACTGCGCAGTCGCGTTCTGTGCTGTGGTCGGCCTGGAGCGAGACGTAGCTTTTGATTGTGGCGGGTCGACATTGCCGTCGGTTTGAAGGGAGGTCTGTCGGCTCCTGTTACCCCAGCGCGTGTTCTTGGCCGAGTCCATGGTCAGTGTTGGTGGTCGGTGCTCCATAAACGATGACTCGTCTTCCGATAGCTTCGCGTGCAGCTGTGCGAGAGAAGTACGCTTGCGATCTTCCTTCGTAGAGAGGGCGGGGGAGTTGCGCTTGCTTGCAGGACGCGGTGATGCAGTATCAAGGTCGTTCCGTGAGGCGCGTCGGATTGCCGCGTCGCGTCGAAGGCTACCAGTCTCTGCTTGGTATGACTTGCGCGACCGGTTGGTGGGGGGTGTGATGTCGTAAAGGCTGTTAAACTGAGAGCTCATCTTGCTGGGAGTACCGCGGTTGCTGCGGTTACCTCGTGCCTGTTCGACGGCCATGCTTTCCTCGTCGGATATGCTGTGGTCAAAGTCGACGAACTCCTTGTTTACCATGGACGTGTCCGGCTGGACCTGCTGCGAGCGGAATGGTGCCCACGTGTTCATCTTCTTGGCTGTTGACCGAATGTGGGGGTATGCTGGGAGTGTGTTGGTGTCTTCGCCAATGTTGTGCTGTGTGGACATGAGAATGTCCGGGTCGTCAAAGAACTGAGACGTGTTCGTGCCGAAGCCCGAGCGCTGCGTGGGATTCGAGTCGCTTGGTGGTGGTGACGGCGAGGTGATATTCCTGGGGCTGTGGCTGAGGCTGCGTGATAGTTCTCGAATAGCGCGCGCTTTCCCGTCACTTGTGGGAGGAGACGACTGCATGTCGAAATTGTGAGGCTGCGGCGGGCAGCTTGTGGAGGGTCGCGTCGCGTGGTAAACACGTGAATAGGGTGTAAGAAAGATACTTCGTAAAGACTACTGAAGTTATATCATTACCTCCAAGAATAATTCCAGCCCAAGTATGATGGGGTGTCTTGGGGCGCGTTGTAGTGGAAAGTGCGATGAGTGTTGAAGACGAAGCGGGTCAGCGTGTTTACTCCAAAACAAAGCTAACGAACCCTGGCCCCACCCAGCCACCGACGCCCGTCATAACGTGCGCGGCGCGTCGAGCAACTCGAATTGAAAGGCACTGCGCCCAACTGCGACGTTCAGAAGTATTGTTATGATGATTTCGTTACTTTGTGTCAATGCTATAGAGGTATCATAAATCAGATCTGTCACAACCATACTCCGTTCCCAAACATCCGTTACATGCCATCCCATGCAACACTTCGACCTGCGCAAAGTCGATTCCATCTCCACAGAACACCCACCACCATCATGTGTGCCAGCAGAAGTATCACTGAGCGTCCCAACCCACCCAAGTCGACTGGTCTCCCCCTGAAGGATATACCCGCATGCAAAAAGTCGAGTGATGCTATGCACAACAACGGGTACAGGACGCGTGAATCCGCCGCAAACGGCTGACAAGGCGACAGCAAACTATAAGCCTTTGCGCAGAACAGCAAAGTCTTGGTAGTGCTAATGGCAGCGGGGTTCCTTGACAGTCTGTACAGTCTTGATGATGCACTCGCAGGTGGCGGTGGAGGGAGCATGAGACGCTGTGGCGATGGCGTTCTCCCTCCAGAAGGGGGCGGCGGAAACTCCAATTTTCTCCGCAAGATCACCGCCCCGTCCTCAGAAGACTGCCTCCTCATCGGCTGCGGACGTGGCGGACTAGGCGATCGGTCCATGACAGTTGCGCTGAGATGCGATCGACCTGGCCGTGTGTAGTTGATCGAAGTACGCTTTTTGTTACCTTGGTTAGGTGACGGGCTGGGCGTGTCGGCTCGCGATATGCGAGGACTGAACTCATCTAGACCCGATGGACCCGCATATGCGTTGTACTCGTCGAATACCAGTGGTGATTTCAGGACATTCAGGATTTCCTCTGCACCTGGGCGTTCATCGGGGTTGATGGCAAGGAGCGTCTTCAGCGATCTGTATAGCTTTTCAGGCAAGTCTGAGCGAACCCGCTGTTCGTCGTCGATACCAGCCCAAGTCGAGATCTCCGCCCTCAGCTGATCTAGGTCCTCGTTGTCCTCATCGATACCGTCCGCGTTTCGGTATGGCAGTCGTGCAAAACACATGAAGTAGACGATCATGCCGAGCGAAAAGATGTCAGACTTGGTTGTGAAGTTGCCAAAAGCACCTCCAGGTCGCTCTTGACGAAGCACTTCGGGGGCGCAGTATGAGATGGTTCCAGTTGCTCCTGTCGAATTTCTCGCTGTGTTCGCGGACTGCACTTCGCCGAAATCGCTGACTAGAACTTTGATCTTGCGGCCAGTACGATGGAGCAAGCAGTTGCTAGGCTTCAGGTCTCGATGTATGTAGCCGTTGGCATGAAGGTGACTCAAGCCGGATGTGATGTCCTTGAAGAACGATATGATCTCTTCAAAGTGCATGCGACGCGGTCCATGCACGTCCTCTGGATCTTCCAGCTGGCCCTTGGACCTCCTCCTGAGTCGCTCCTTCATCTGCTCCTTGGTTACAGATGTCTTCATAGAGTCTAGAATATAGTCGTGGAGGTCGCCAGCATTGCAGTACTGTTGCAGTATGAACGCGCACGGTACACTTGGGCCAAAGCTGGATATCTGGTAGTCCTCCAGCCATACATGTCGGTATGAAACCAAATTCTCGTGCGACAGGGTCTGAAGTAGTTGCACTTCAATCAGCACCTTCTCCAGCCATTCGTGATCGTCGCCGACTGGCACGCGCTTGCATGCGAACTTGCCCAGGTGCACGCCGTCCAGGATATGCTGCACCAGCAAGACCACACCCTTGCCTCCTCTGCCCAGCTCCCGCTCTTCTATGAAGAAGTCCTTGAAGTAGTTGGGACTAAAGGCTCTGGCAGATATACCCTGGCTTCTAGCGGGCTGGATCGGTGTGCTTCCCACAAACTCAGAACCTTCTGGCGGCTCGAAGCTGCCCATGCGCAAAGGGGCAGGCGCGAGTTGTTTATGTGGTGATGAGGGTCGCGATCCCTCTGTTGACCCTGGCTGACTCCGGCGCAGCATTTGGAAGTATGCGGGATTGACGAAGCCATTTTCGGTGGGTATGCCAGGCGCAGTATGTTCCTCCGCGTCGCTGTCGTGTTCGTCATGGGGTGATGGTTCGCGGTAGGATCGGTGACAGTATGGACATGACGTAGAGCCGATATCAGTCGCGTGGGAGGCATCGCGGAGGGAGAGTTGTTTTGAGCGCTGGTCATAGACGACAACAGCAGAACCATGACGCCTGTGATGTTCGTTAGCACCGTGTCATTGTTGTCGCATGGTATATCCTCATAGGAACCTACAGCACAATCTCCCGCGACTCAGCTGGGGCGTAGGGAATCAGCGACATGTTTTGGTGCGACTTGCGACCGTCGGCCCTGTCGTATGGTTGTCGGCTTGGGAAGAGCGCGCAACGTCTTTGACAGCGGTCTGCAGCGTGTCGCCCACGTAAACAACCGAGCTGACGTAACTGCCTTCAGTATGGAAAATGTGAATGTGATATGTGCGGTCGTACCACCTCGTGCGGTGCGGGGAAGCTACAAAGGCGCGGTATAGGCAGGGACCTTAGTCGATAGCCCACAGCGGATAGCAGAAGGGGTAGCGAACGGCCTCGCGACTGTCTTGTAGAAGTGGCATGACCGTGTTCCTCAGGTAGCGCTGACTGTTGTCATGGTGTCGTGTGTTGTTTGGACGGCGCGCAGGTTTTGGTGGGGAGAGTGGAACGGCAAGGGCGTCCCAGCTGGCAAGGGTCTGTCACCGTCTCATAGCAAGTGCATACCAACAATGACTGGCCAGACTCATCATTATTTTCAGGTGCTCTACCTAGGCAGTCTCCAGGCTATCAGTAAACCGGATCCATGCACGGTTTCATCCCCCTCCCACCTCATACATGAGAAACCTGAACAGGTCTGCAGACTACATCAAACCAAAAACTTGTAATGTATGTGGCCCAATGTCAACGTAGACTCCAGAGTGTTCAGTCTTTTCTTAGATTGGCGTGCTCCTGTCTCCTACAAATGGCTCTTGACCAACATGCCACCCTCCCAGACCTCGCCCTTCTCCAGCCTCTGCCAGCCGTCCACGGCACCGATCTCGACGCAGACCATGTTCTTGTAGCCGTCGTCGGGTGAGAAGTCGCCCATGGCCTTGGCCTTCTCGATCCACGGGTTCCAGGTGACAGTGTCCTTGACATTGTCGCGGATGACGTCAAAGCGAGGCTTGCCGTCCTCGGTAATCGATGTGGTGTCCTGCTTGATGTCCTTGTAGACGCGATCTGTCTCGCCGGTGATCTTGAGCTGGTTGTCGTTCTGGGTGTGGGTAGAGGCGTTGAGGACCTTGTCGACGTACTCGGTGCCAGACAGGCCGGTGATGGCGATCTTGGACACGTCCTGAATCCTGAAGTAGGTGTGGAGCAGGAACTGGAACTCGAAGCTCTCTTCGCCCTCGTTGCGGACGGTGAGAACGGCTTGTAGGCTGTCCTTGCTCAGTGTGACACTGTATACGAGGCCAAAGTCCAGTGGCCATGCCTTGCGCGACTCCTCGCTGAGCGACTGGCGGTCGAGGCCAAAGTCGAGCTTGACCGAGTTGGAGTCGAGAGCATCCTCCGCAGTCGACTTGCCCATGTACTCCCAGCGCGATCCACGCGCGAAACCGTGTTGTGGAAGCGACGAAGTGGCGTGTCCCTCTTTGGGGGGAGGACCGAAGACGGGGAATACGACGGGGATACCACCGCGTACAGGCTTCTTGCCAGTGAGATCGGCCGCGTCGCTCAACCAGAGGTTCTCAGTCTTTCCGCCGCTGCTCTTCCAGCTAGTAACAGTGGCTCCAAAGAGCAGTACCTCGACGCTCTCGCCAGATGGCAGTCTCGCGACGACCTTCTGGCTGCCACCCTCTCCGACGATGTCGACCTGGGGGCCGGGTGCAGACGCGGTAGGCGCGTTCAGCGCTGAGGGACGGTTCGCACGGTCGACCATGATGACGATGTGTTGTTGCTGTAGCTCGAGGTGATGGTGGGGTATCTATTGTATAACTCGAAGCGGCTTGTTTGCGGGTTTGATTGATTGCTCGAACTGCAATTGGGAATTAGATGGTGGAATGGCAGGAAATCAATTGGGGACAGCTCACACTAATGGCAGCAGGCGGTATGGAGCTACTTGGTCTAGAAGGGAGGTGCTCGCAACGAGAGCCCTGGGGTGAGGGGCAACAGCTCATTGCCCCACCAACACCTGCCAGCATCCACGCATCACCCACCACCACTGAAACACATAGCTTGTTTCATCTCGACTCTCTTACAGCCCGCTTAGCTGCTCCGTCTGAACATTATTGGGTCTTCCGCCCTCTCGGTGCATATACTTCCATGCCGGCGATGCAGATCCAACAGAAAGGTGCATCTTCGCCTGCATATCTGGCGAACAACGGCCCGCGGTGCCCGGTTTGCCGGTAAAAGCTGGTGAACATTATGGCCTTGCTCCTTCACCTGTACATCCGAATATAGCCTGAAGACATCTAAGTTCTCACCTGACGGCAAGAAAAGACTGCCCAGTCCCAACATGTACCCCGTTTCAGGTGAACTTGTAGTGTCCAAGGTTCCTTTTAGGCTCATTCCGGTCGATCCTGAGATGGATATACGATACTCCGCTTGGCTCATTGGCAGCGGCGTCAAGCTGTATTGACGGTATGACAAGTATTCGGGACTCTCCTGTCGTTCGTGTCGATACCGTCACAACAAGTCAGCGTATCCTTGATACGTCTGAACTCAATGTTCATTTGATTGACTTCATCAAATCAAAAGCAAAAAACTACCTTGTGTTACCTATGGCCGGCAGAGGTTCAGGGTAGCTCAACAGTCATCATGCACGGGACCGCCATTAGTGATGTGCAGCCAAAATAACGAAAGCTCCCCGTTTTCTGATCTGCTGAACCCAGACTTGTTCTATAACTACAAAAATAGTCGTCAATGAGCTACCAGCTCTACAAGGTTGGCGTCGGCCCGAGTAGCGTGCCATGGCTGCTGGGCCTAATTGGTGCGCCCAGCGGCTTCCCCCACTTCAACACCACAGCTAAGCCACCGCTAACGACCCGTAGAGTCTAGACAGAGCTGAAAACGCGTGGCTGACGGATCGCCCGCTGTCGTGCTATATGAGATGATGCCCCGCTTCCCTAGCTCAAAATGCTGCACATCTCTGATCCCCCCGGCATAGACCCGCTATGGTTGGGACTGATCTAGTGCGAACGATACATTTACGAGACTGTTTGAAAGAGAAGTACAGGAGTTGGAAATGCCTTCCAAGGGTGTAAGATGTTTCACCTACATCGCGGTGGATGGAGTCGAGGTTGAGTACACGGTACCAAAGGGCAATGTCAAAAGAGGCGACCAACACCAGTTCCTCCACGATCATCTCGAAGTAGAGTCATCCAACTTACCCCATTTCAAGTTCACCGGAAACTTCGAATTCATCGTTCGCCAGGATGACCGCGAGCTCACAAAACAATGGGTCGCAATCAATAGCATGACTGGCAAATTAGAAGACGGCTCAATGGTCAACATGGAACAAACACCCAGCATCTTCGCCAACGACCTCATCATCTCCTACGGATTCTACGACGCCGGCCCAGGTCTAGCCGAGTTACCAAAACAACACCAATGCTACGTCACCGTCACAAAGAACTATGAGAACTGGATGCGCGACATCATCCCCCAAGGATCCGACAAGTCCAACCGCCCCTTCCACAAAATGGTCCTCCCCTCCGCCCACGACATCGGCATGAACAACATGTCAAGCAGTCTCTCGCTCCTCAAAAACGCCGGCACAGGCATCATAAAAGAAGTCCTGGGCCGCAGTCTCCCCCACGCCCTCACCATCATCAACAAAGTCGGCGACGGCGCCATAAACCGGATCGCACCAGATATCATCCGCGCACTAGCCATAACGCAAAAAGATACCCTCGACACCATCCTCAAGATCGGGGCGCGCTACTTCGAGTTCCGCCCCGCGAAATGCCACCGTCAGATGCAGAAAGTCAGTCCCCTGGATGATACATGGTATTTCCAACACGGCGCTATACCAGGGATGCCATATCGCGTGTTACTGGACCACATCACGCGTTTCCTAGTCGACCACAAAGACGAAATCATCGTTGTGCACAACCGATGGGATGGCGTGCCAGGTGACTGCCCCCGACCTAACGACGACGAGTTGCGAGATGCGCTCAACGATATCCTGCGCGATAAAGATTTAAAAGCGGGGAACCAGGAGGATATGATGCACAAAACCATTCACGACCTCCGCGAGTCAAATACCCGGCTCATCATCCTCAAAGACTGCGGCCAGGTCTCGAATTACGACGACGCTGCAAATGCTACGCTAACGGGTGATTCGATGGTGGAGAAACTGTCTTCTATGTGTGAGGACCCGCCTAGAGGTCATCCCATCACTTTACTGCAGTGTCAAGCCACAGCAACGAATATCAGGGATGTGATTATTGCTAGTGTGCTTGATTCGGATGTTAGTACCAGTCCGATACTAGCGACGAAACCGGTGTGTGATCATAAGATTCTGCCGTTGTTGAAGGGGGAGGTGGGGAGGAAGTTGATGGGGGAAGAGGGGGTTGTTGTGATACTTAATGATTTCTTTGATGGGGCGACGGCGGATGTGGCGGTGGGGTTGTGTAGGGAGAGGTTGGGGTAGACGGAGTGTAAGAGACGGGCGATGAGTGAGATGTGATGCAGCAGGAAGATCGATATCGTTATTACATTATTACGTGGTAAACTACGAGACAACATCTACGTCAGACTATACCTTGGAGCTAATTCTCACTCCCTAAGCACCCCCATGTTCCCCCGGCGTAAAATCCGTCCTCCCCAAATCCCTATTCCCCTGCACCACGAAATCGTGATCTTTTGTCAGCGAATCCAGGAACTTATCATCGACGTTAAGATGATTCCTAACAATCTGCCTCGGCGTAATCCCCAACCACTGATTAACACTAACATCGCTATACTGACCACTCTGCAACACCTCCAGATAAACCAGCGTCTCGTTCCCCGTATTCTCAAGATAATGCGCATTAGGCACAGGCACATACCCGACATCCCCAGCCGTAAAGTCGAATGTGCGGGATGCAGCGGGTGCTTCGTAGACGGTGAGGCGGGCGGAGCCGGCGATGAAGTAGGACCATTCGTCTGAAGTGGTGTGCCAGTGCATTTCGCGCATGGCGCCGGGTTCGACGGTTATGAGGGCCGCGGAGAAGGTGGATGCGATGGGGAAGGTGGAGGGGTCGAGGATCTTGATGGTGCCGCCGGGGACGCGGGCGGGGGCTTGCTGGCTCCAGTGGTAGGAGTATGCGCCTTCTTTTGGTATCACGCCCGCGGGGCCCGTTACGTTCTGCTCTGAGATGTTCTTCGGTGCGGGGGTACCGGGGAAGATCCATAATTGTTCTTGAGGCATGTTCTGCACTGTTTTGACCGACGTGCGAAAGTTCTTGGCTATAACCGACTCGGGGTTCCGCAGCATGAGCTCGGAGAGGAGGAAGGTGTTTTCTTCGCTGAAGGAGCCGTCGTTGAAGATGAGAAGGAATTCGCAGCCGTTTTCGAAGGCTTGGATGGAGTGTGGGATTCCTGGGGGGAAGAACCAGACGTCGCCTTCTTGGACGTCGTCGACGAAGGTTTGGCCCGCTTCGTTCATGGAGGCGATGCGAACGCTGCCGTTTAGCCTGGGGGTTGTTTGGTTAGCTTTGTTAGGTGGTTGGGTTGGAGGAGGGGTGTACATGTATGCCCATTCTCCTTGCTTGTGCCAGTGGAGCTCGCGGTAGGCATGGGGGCTTAGTCGCATGTTTGTTCCTGCCATGGCGACGGAAGATGGTAGTTGATCGGTGTTTTGCGATCGCGCCCATCCCGCGCCTGCAAGGCCGTGGCGGTTGTGACTGAGAGCGAATGGCCATTTCGCATTGCTTACCTCTCCCATATCGGAGCCGGGAGGGGCGTAGATGTCGCTATTTAGACGATCGTAGGCTGGAGTACTACAATGAGATATCAGTCACAGTACCAATATTAGGCATGGCCATGAACTTACCGTGGACCAGGTTCAGTTGGTCCTGTAGTACCTCCGCGGATGGGTTGGGGGTTCTTCACATTCGTGAGATCGATGTACAATCCCAAATCCTCGTCCTCTGATTGCCCAGGTGCGAGTTCGAAGTCCTCAGGTGGGATAACTGTAGACTGCATGTCTACTGGGTTCGAAGGGTTGTACCCTTGTAAATCATCGGAACCGCGCAACGAGCCTGATGCCGAAGAAGGTAGTGGCATGTTCAGGACTTGCGAGGGATCGACAGGGCCTGGTACTGATGAGCCGCCAGAGACTCCTGACGCCTGAGGTGCAGGTGCAGGTAGGCCATTGGCAAGACCTGCCAGGGAGTAGAGGAACGCAGCGGATGAGAAATAGAGCATTTTGGAAAGGAATTGCTCGTTGCAGTGCTGACTCACCGTGCAACTGCAGAATAGATGGACGGCTTACCCTCCTTTTTATACTCAACGGGGCGACAGTAAAATCGTACCACCCCAATGCCTTCACCACTAACTCCACCAGGCATACGTCACTTGAAGCGACATCATGACTATTGAGAATAGTAAAGTGACGGGTACGCAGCCCTGGCATGCATGCGGCGATGAACGGTATCGTGCATGAGATATTCGATCAAGCTTGCCCATTCTGGCTATATTATCTTGTCTATAGCTGGGGTTGTGGCTTTTCCGGGGGATGTCCACCAACTGCCGGCGGCCTAGTGATTCAACGTTGACTGAAGATTGGCTGCGGAGCATGAGGCTGACCACGAGTTCACGACAGGGGTCTGATTTGCTCGGATCTTGAATTATCCCCATCTTGTTGATCGTGACGGTGGTGACCGCGTAATGCTCTCAGTCTTGCATCATTGTCTTTCTTCGGAGACGGACTCGGTACCTACCTAGGCATTGTGGTTAGTGGTTTTGAAAAAATCGAAGTTGATGCTGTCTTTGCTCTTCGAATTTGTAACTTTGAGCAATGGTGACTTTGCAGTCACCATCGAGCTTCTGAGCTGACTGTGTTAGCTTACTCACAGTTCGTCTTCAGTAGTCTGATCTGTTATTCCCGAAGCGCTCCCATGCACACCGCGCGTTTTTTATGTAGTGCCGGAACGAGCCGGGACCAGAGTCCATCGCGGGAGGCAACAACAAGGACCTGTGATGAGACCTCAATATTGACCAACAGTGTAGCTGAAAATGAAGGCAGGTGCGGCGGTAGGACTTGACTCTGCATTCCTCAACATAGGGCGGCTGCGCATATCTGATGGACCCCATCGCATAGAAGGTGCGAAAGCAGACGAATAATGAATAGACACCGGCACTCACACCCGTACTGGGTGGAGATGAGATGGCGTGTCAAGCTTTGCGGAGAAGGCTTGATTTGTGGCTACGGGGAAGCAGCGGGATCACGCTACGTCATCACGTGGCTCATTCCGGCTAGCGCGATGCTCAGCTCTCCTCCCACCTGGGCAAACCTCAGTCGCGACAACTCTGTCTTCACTCCGGTCCGCATGCAAATGCACTCACAACAGTCAAACAAGAAAAATACAGCGCCACAACTCTCTCCGCAAATCCAACTTCCGTATTGCACTGCCTAGTATGCCCGAGCCTCGGCGATATCCAGCTAACGCGTCTCGATCGCGTGGTCCATCACACCTCACACCTACAATCTCCTCCGTCTGACCAGGTACTTATATGCATATTCGATATAGCACACATCTCACGATACTACATCTCGCTCGAAGCAGAGCTTAGCCCGCCTCCGAACCTCCAGCTCTGAGTCGTGCCCCTCACAAGCTCAGCGCCGACAGCGCGAACACGCCAACTCTTCCACCCTTCGTCCAGGCCTTCCACAATCTTCGTCAAATACACCTTGTGCATCGAAAGTGCAGTGACTTAGGTCGACGCGAGTGTGGGCCAGTGCTAGCAGACACTTTTTATCTCTTTCGAGGGCGATGTATGGAGTCAGCCCTGCTGACAGGCAGATGCAGTAAATCCATCAACCGGTTCTCCGCATCGTTCCTCGGTCGGGTCAGAGTTATACCATCGCGAACAGTGACCTTCTTTTCGCGACGTTGATCACGGCTCATCTCGGGGTTCGATGAGCGTACCCAGACGCGTCCCTGGATGGGGACAAGACCGGGTTCATTATTTTGTATCAAGTTACAGGGCATGCCTGATTCTTGATCACAAAGTTCATCCTCAACTGCCGAATAGTCGGCGAGAATGCCAGGCGGAACTTGGATGCTAGACTTGATAGCACCCATGAAGGCCTTTTTCTTCAAGAATGCCTTGAGAAATTTAGGAGAAGGTGTCATGACCTTGTTCTTCTTCTTTAGGAACGCCTCAAGGAACCTGGGAGAAGGCGCATTGGCTACCGCGTCAGCGTCGTCATCTACCTCCTCGTCGCGAGTTCCACGGATATGCTCCATGAGACCCCTTGACACACGAGCTGGGGCGTTCGATACAGAAGCGTTGTCTTTGGCCATTGTTTGAGTCGCTGGAATGCTGCCGGGCGTACGCTGAACTCGTGGATTCCCGCCAGCAGGAGAAGTCTTGCTTTTCAGCTCAACAACCGAATCGCGACGTTTCCGCTCCAGCGCAGCCAAAGTAGGAACACGGCGCCCCGCAAGTAGTGGGCGCGCAAATTCTCCTGGCTCTTCGTGTGCTTCACAGCCTGGTTCGCGGCTGTCTTGATACTCCACGAGCGCGTCGTACGGCTCGCGACATTCCTCGTCGAAGTCGTCGTGAGCGATGATGTCGCTAACTGGAAGACGCCACAGCCGAATCCAGCGTTCAGACTTTGCCGTCCAATCCACTGGGCTGTCATGGAGGTCGTCGTAGAATTGATGCTCTTTAGGAACCTCCTTGAGTTCAGCACGCGATGCTGGGTACTCTGGCGATCTATAGTTTAGAGTGGCATCGTCTTCCTCGGTCAAAAAGTATGCGGCTCTATTAGGACGTCGCCGTGAGCGAACGTGCCTCATGTGGTATCGGACAATGGCTTCAATGCCGCGGATGCCCATCTTCTGCTCCCACCACAATTTCTTCGCCTTCAGGTACTCTGGATTGTCGCCAAAGTCATCCTCGGGATTGAGCAGCCCCTGTTCGCGCAGTGCCTCGCTGTCAAACTTGTGTTCATGGTTTAAGTCATTCCAGAGTCCAACAATCATGTCTTCTTCGAGACCCTTCCGATCTCCAAGGATACTGCCGGCCGCATACTCATGGGAATCGTTTGCGACTAGATGATCGTAGTGTTCCGGGTGGGCGCGTAGCTTCTCCAGTCTATTCAGGACGCCTTGGACGAATCCGTCGTTTTCGCCTGGAAGATTGTGAAGATATTCCCACTCTGCTTTTGGTACGTCGTCTAGTGGTACCCCTCCCTCAAAACACGGCCGGTCACAGTTAGGGATTGGCGTAGCCCGTTGGATCTGCTCATCGTCTTCCTGGTACTCGGCGAGCGCGCGAGCTGCTTCGATACCCTTTTGGCAGGAGGAATATACCATCGGGTCCTCTGGTAGGTCTTTGCGCACTTTCATCGTCTCGTAGATGATTTTGCGCTGATTACCGGAACGAACTAGTCCGACAACGACACGTTCTTCTCCGAGAGGCAACGGAATCTCGTCAAAGTCTTCGTTCCACACCGCTGGGAACTGCCGAGGATACTCAAAACAACCCATGTTCAGGCGAGGCTCTTCCTCATCCACAACAGGTTCGAATTTCCTTGCGAGAAGATGCAAGTGTGGCTTGTGTTTGGACACATCGCATGCTAGGTCTAAGAAGTGCTGTTGGACCTCGTCGCTGACTTTGTCACCATGGAAAGCTGGATGGCCCGTCTGGTGTTTCGTATACGCATCATGGAACAATGCCATGATCATTTGGCCACCATCGGGTGTCTCGGCACTGAAGTAAGCGAGGGTGTATGCCATGATAGACAGCTCTTCGCATTCAACGCCCATTTCTTCGAGAATCCCGTGGGTATACTTGTAGTCTTCGTACTCACCCTCATAGTCGAAATCGGAGTTCAGAGAGGACGAGACCATGTCGTTCAGCAAGCCAAAGTCACTGTCATCTGCTTTTGGATGAGTGACCAAATTTTCGACTCCGCGGAACTTTGGGCCGAGCGACTTGATGTAAACTGGATTCTCGCGGTCTTCATCTTTGTCGTCTTCAGTCATGTAGGCATGGACCTTCGAAGACGCAGAGGTATGTGACACGTTTGCGATGTGTGAAGAGGTTGAGAGCATACCCTCGAAAGATGATGGTGCTGTGACCACTATAGTGGGCGGAAAGACCTTGTTGCGTGACTGCATAGTACGACTGCGGTGATTTAGCATTTGATCTGCATTGAACGCATCAGATGAAACTAACCTGGGAACGCCTGACACCCTGACGATCTGCACAATGGGGTCTTCCTTTGTCGGAGCCAGTGTACTTCTAGACAGACTGCTGAGGGCTTTGTGGGTGCGCTTCGTCTGGACCAGCGCTTGCGGGAAGGATATCAGGGGGCGGTTGGGGCTGGTGCTGGTGGAGTGGATAGCCCACCTGCACGGCTAAGGCCTTCTTGGTATAAGTGTGGTAAGTTCCAGGCAAGTATAGGTAGTGGTGCGGATGAATGCGGGTTGAAGTTATTGGTGTGGTGTGATGGTGGTACTGTACACTCTGCAGCTTGAGCGTGGACATATATACCGAGCGGGAGCTCAGTCGCAAAGGTGCAGCCAAGAGCCACCCCGGGTCTAGCTCGGGAAGCAGCACAGACTACGGTGAATGAACGACTCGGGGTTTCCAGTTGGGTAGTGCTGCTCGCGGAGATCCAGAATTGTTGCGCAGTGAAAGCAAGCGCCCGGAGAGCCTGGACATAGTCGCTAAGTGAATGGACATGTTCACACTGGCGAAGCGTTATTCGGTATATAAATAAATTGAAGCTGATAACACCGATGACTTATGAGTCGGATAAACGCGTTTATATGGCTAACATACAATTCGGATGTACGCATTATATGGTTAACATAAGGAGACAAAGATAGAGTTCATAGAACAGCAAACTGGGTATCAAACGCTAAACAAATCAAGAGGAATGAGTACATTCGAGATCGTCCACGATCTCGATCAAGACAGCGAACAAAGAAAGGACATGGGTGATAATAGTACAAACTCGCTCCCAAGACGGGCAAGTTCAAAGGCTCATTCCCAGTTGGCGCGCTGCATCGCTGCCTCGAAATCTGGGTTAATGGGGAAGTTGGCATACTGCTGTCGGCCTGCAGGTTTGAGGTCAGCCGGAGATCTAACAAGAGGACCAAGAAAGGACATACCGGGTGGGTGAAGTGCCGCGCGCGTAGTCCCAGCGATCAAGGCTTTTGCCCGCCTAGACTGCACATTCTGTGCCAAGTCGTGGCCCTGGTGTTGCTCTTGAGCAACGTCTACCGTCGGATGATATGCGGCATCGAGCTGCGTCCACATGCCGTGCGGCTCAGCCAGAGCATAGCAATGCTCTAGACACTCCTGACATCGAGTAACAATGTGGCCATGCGGAAAGCAGTGTGTACAGCCGATCTGACTCGCGTTCATCATCCTGCTCGCCATCGTCTGAGGCGTGAACTCAAGCTGATGCAAGCGACCGTGCTCACACCGAGGGGCGAGCAGACGGTAAGGAATCTCCGAGAACCCGATGGTAGTCTGGAAGCCAGGGGGGTAAGACGGGGATGTAATTCCCGGCGCAGGAAGTAAACCACCAGGACGGCTGATGCGCTCGTTGATGTCCTCGGCTGATGTGTCGACTAGGACAAAGATGTTCTTGGTGGTCGTCTTATGCAGCTCACAGTTCTGGACGATCTCCTGGGAACGAGGCGGTGTCGCATGCTCGGGATAATCCGGGAACTGAACCAGGTCAGCCATGGCGTCATGGAGCTCGCTACCGTCGAGGACTTCGATAAGGAAGAAGGATGCGAAGTCTTTCATCTCCTTGTAGTTGTGCTCCTTTTCGTCGCGGTAGCTACCGAGCGTTGACATCGCGACCTGTCCGCATGGACACTCGTGGAAGGCATTTGGATCAAGTAGGTCGCCTTGGCCGATGTCTTCTATCCAATCGGGAATCCGCTCATAGCTTTCGATCAAGGCGTGCTCTGGCTTGCCCTCTGTGGCTTCACGAATGAATGAGGGCTTGAAGTCGATGCTCCAGTTGCGGATGTTGTAGTCCGAGATACCTTCATTGATCGCCATCTCTTCATATTCCGTGAGATATGGTCGGCAAGGGTGATCTAGTCCCACATAATGGCGTACATCAAAGTGGCATGCAGGGGTATATTTCCTCCGATTCCCCTCGATGATGGTCTTGATGTCTTGTAGCGTCTTGATGGGCGCTCCAGGCGCGACGACAGTACCGGGGCACATGATGTACCAACACTTCTCGAGTTCCTGGAGGAGAGCATTCTCGCCATTTTGTGCGCGCGTCTTGATGAGTGTATCCAAAGACTGGGCTCCAATCGCTGCTTTCAGGTCTTCCGGAAGATGTGGTTCCAAAACGTGGAGAAGGAAGGCGATGTCCTGCGCATCTGCGTTGGTGGGTCGTCCAAACCATCCGTCGACATCCTCGTATGCCTGACCATCACCATCAATGAAGATAGGCTCGAGATGATTGGCCATGCGTTGGTCATAAAGTCGACCACCCGGGGCCCACTGATCAGTGTCGTTGAAGACAAGGTTGCCATGCTGACGCTGAAGTGCTGCTATGTGGTCACTGCTGGGGCAAGCAGGTTCGACAGCGTCTTCTTCTCCGACGATTTCGCACTGGGGTTCGGTAGTGTGGGACATCTCCGTAGAACCTTGAGCACCTGGTGCGATGGCGGTAGTGAGAGGCAGATGCTCTTCGTTTCCGAGAGACGACATCCACTGGTCGCTGCCTGCAGACATATCCCGAAAGCTGGCTAACCACTGTGGCACTTTCGACTCTTCATGAGCGGTCTGTCGGTCGAGCATCATTGCCTCAATTAAGGGCATGATGTCTCCAGTAGTACAAATACCGCAAGACGCGTCGTCGTCGTCGTCGTCTATCATCGGCGACGGCTGAGCTGACTGCTGTTGCTGCTCAAGCATCTGGAACCCACCGAACACCAACCATACCAGGCCGGCAAAGGGAACCAGAGTCAATATGCTCTCAGTGGCAAATCGTACTAGCCAAAGTACAAAGAACGCACAGATCACGAAGACGGCGAGCTTCTTAACGAGCGATGGTTGGCCAGTAGCGTTGACGGTGGTCGAGTATCCATCGATCTTGGCCGGCTGCTGGAGCCCCTGAGGGCCCTTGGTGGTGGAACGTTCGGTGTGGAACTCCAACCCGGATAACCCAGGCTGTAAAGTATGGCGGTCGCGCGACTGGAAGCCGTTGAGAGCTCGCACATTGATCGATTCGGAAGCAGTGTATGAGCGGCGCGACATACTTGGCGCCCGTGTACTTGGGGCGACGGATGTGTACGTAGTTGCGGACCAGTACGACATGGACGTTTGGATAGCCTGGCCTGCGTATCGTGCACGCTCACTGGGAAGAGTCAGGGGATATATCGTAAAGTCGGAGAAGGCAATCACTGACCTTGGATGAGCGGATGATGCGCGACCATCGCTTGTGACCGCAGCAGCGGGCGCCATAGCGACTGCTGGTATCATTTTGGCGGGTAGACAGGCTCCGTATACCATACAGATAGCCTGTATGTCGATAGTGCAGATGGAACCAGCGCGCTTGTTAGCTATGCAAAGCTGCAGTTACTAGTGGAGTAAGTGCGAGCTTGCGAGGAGTGGTGGTGGCCCATCGTTCGGAGGCCGAAAGTACGCGTGGGTTAAGTAGAGGGCAGTGTCAGCTGTAGCGCTGACTACACTAGCTCCACACTAGTCGTACCTGCGAGTGAATGCACGTGAATGGGCTTGTGCAGCCATCACGTATGGGCTTGGCGAAGTTCCTCACGCTCGCGATGCCTCCTCTTAATGACGCAAGGTATATATCGCGAAGATTCTGGAAAGTTATAGTGTAGGCGTATAGGTAGATGTTGACCCCAGCGTGGTACTGCGCAGCTATATATGTACATCAACGTGCTCAGCGAGGTGTTTGTTGTTTGCACGGCTTGCACTTCAAGATGTTGGCGAAACACCTAGCATCTGGACGATATTGGAACCAGCACAAGAGCCCGGAGACTTCGATCAGATCAGCATGACACTCTTGCCGAAAGCACTAGCTTGGTTCGGGTGGTTTGCCGACAGGAAAACACGATTGTATGGGCAGAAGATGTCGTGGGAAGAACGTAGGGAATAAGTCATGCTTCTGATAGGGGTGGCGAGAACAGAGATTTCTGGTCATGATTGAAAGCAGAGACAAGAGGGATAGTTGAGCTGGACAGCATCTTTCTGGCCAGGACTGAAGTTCCGGGACGTAGCAATTGAAGAGTAAGGAGGTGACGCTCGCGCACAATCGTGAGAATGAAGGGATAATTACAAAGATGTAAGAATGAGGGCATTACAAGAGTCGAATTACTCTCTATTAATAGTAGGTAGGTCATGGGGTATCGTAACAAAGTGATGTTAAAGTGTGTGGCCTGAACAAAAGAAAAGTCTCGGATCTACCTCGACACACGCGGATTTTCGTCTACCAGCATCTCGGTGCTGTTCTCCCTTTGTGTTTCCTTGCGGGATATATCGTCCGCCCAGGTGGCTTGCGAAGCGGGCGTTCTCCAGCCGCTCAGCCTCCTCCCATCGGCACCATCCACCTCTACGTGAATGTCCGTAACAACTTGAATGTCTCTCGCATCCTCGCTCGAGCCATTTGAGCGCTTCGTTACGTCTAGAACGTAGTCGTCTTTGGTGCGCAGCGCCTTGCTGCCACCCCTGCTTCCGTAGGTACGAGCGCCTTGTGGGCGAGAGTGGGAATATGCGCTGCGGTGTCTTGACGGGAACGCCCTTGGAAGCCAATGTGTGATCAAAGGCCTGAGCAACGGCAGACAGGCGCAAATAATGCCGACGTTGGTCTCAACGGAGCTCCATGTCGCCGCAGGCGGGTTGTCGTAACTAGGATCAGCCGAGTTCGAGATCGCGACGAGAGATTGTAGACGGAGAATTGAGACTAGGCAGACACTGCAGGATCGCGCGTTAGTGTGACTTCTTTGTAACAGTTGATGGTAGGGGTATGCCCGCTGAGTAACTCATCACGAGAAGAGCCGGTGGTACAGTGATGCACCGTGCGATAATCGAGTGAGCTTGGTGTTACACCTTGTAACAGACATCAGGCGCTCACGGAACGGCCCGAATGGACAAAACAAGGTAACACCGGAGAAGAATACTCACAATCCGCCAACCGCGAAGATGGAGATGAGTCCAATCTTCTGCCTCTTGCCGAGGTTCAACTTCTGAATGACCGGAATAGGAAGAAGGATGATCGCGAAATCGGTAAGGATGTTGATGGCGGCGTTCGTGAACCAGACGGCGAATTGGTTAAGACAAGTAGACTTCTCGTGAGTCCAGAAAGCTCGTACGGGTGTGCAGGTGAAGATACTGGAGAAGACTGTCCAGATGGTGTAGGCGACGACAACGGCCATCGTGAGCCAGTTCGCGATCTGGAACTTCTTGGTCGGGAAGATGCGTCGATATTGGAGGAGCATTGATCCTTTGGTCAAACCGAGCGACAGGTAGTATACGATGAGACTGGACCAGAATGTCTGTCGCTTTATGTTAGCAGTGCCCTCAAGCACACGTTGAGAGTGTCGCACCCTCAAGAACTTGACCATGTGGTCGTCTGGGATTGTTTTGATGTGTCTGCCCATACCATATTCGGCCTCTGCATCTTGTCAGTGTCTATAAGATAACGTAGTCAGGCATATACTAACGGATACCAATGGCGATTGTCAAGCCAATGGAGCAGAGCTGGCAGAAGGTTAGCATGGACATACTTAATATGATGTAGCGATAAACTTACCATTGCAAGAGCGATGCCGGCATCTTCGATACCCACGCACCGAATTATAAAGAAGCGCGTGTACAGTCGAAGGACGACGGTGATGAGAGCCAGACCAGTGAAGACAGAAGAGATCTCGACCGCTTGCCTGCCCCTCGGGTTATCAGATAATGATCCAGCCATGATGTGATAGCGTAGGTCTCAAGACGACCAGATAAGGTGAATCAGGCTGCTTTTGTGGGAAACATAGAGTATTTCACAGCTGCCCAGATCCCTGAATGAGATGGGTGGTATGGGCTTCGTCGGTGGCTTTACCTTTAACCACACTTATGCACGTACCCACCTTCCGTACGCCCACCGAACAGTGACATTCGCCAATTACTCCGCGGGTGCCAGGGTCTGCAGCCCTGTCAGGAAACCTTCGGCATGGCCACGAGTCGAAAACGCGAGAGCAACGAAGTGTGTGAGATCGGTCTCAACACGTCCCGTGCGACGTTCCGGTTTTCCCGGGATCTACAGAACGCAGAGAACCCAGTCCCTGCACAATGGTGAGCTGTTCGGCTGTCACGAAAAGTTGGAGAAGTAGCTCCAACCTCAAGCGGCACGCGTGCGCAAAAGTTGTGTATGGTTCGACCTTGAGCAGTTCGTGTTCATTCGTTTTGTGATGGCGGCTATGGTGTCACCAACCATGTTTGCCGGATGTAGTGTTTCAGCCCGATGCATAGGGCTCCTTCGGCCGCCAGCATCCTGGGAAGTGAGATCGTGATATTACACACGGGCTAAGGAGTCGTGGATGCGATTCCATCTCGAGCGTCGTACCGAACCAGAGCGGTAAAGGATGCAACTGAGGACTCGGGAAGATCAGTCGAAAAAGCGGAGTGTACACACACATGCAGGAACGTGGCACGGCTTGCGTGATGTCGTACAGGAGACGGTAAACTCTCATTCGCGGATTTTGTAAGCGAAGACTAAAAACTCTGTGTGGGCAAAACCATGATCATCCTTCGCGTTTGCAGGCTGCAGCTAGAGACGCACGGGGCGGGCCTAGAGACGAACTTGCGCACGCAATGCGCTTTTTCATTTTCTACCTCGCCAAAGTACGAAGCTTTAGAAATTGACGACACGACCACTATCGCGAGCCGTCTGGAAACGAGCTTTCATGTGCTGAGTTTGAATTGAATTGGTTGAGGCCCGGGCCGGGACCCTAGTGCCAACCCCATGAAAATGACAGGACGCTACAGTATATCCTACGTCGCAGTCAGCGAGACGGCTCTGCCACTTGACATGCTTGGTTCCTACTCCGTTGACCTATGATGGTCTCACAGCTGCGTTGCTAGAAAGCGAGCAGAAGCAGTATGGCCCTGAAAATCTGCAGATCAGTCATCAGCAGCGCATGCAGCTGCTCAAGACCGTTAGAAGTCGCCGAGGCATATCGAATACAGGTGGAGACATCAGAAATTGGACAAGATCAACTTCCACTAAACATTTGGTGAGCAGAATAACTGTGGCTCCAGGAGATGTGCGGGTAGCTTTTAGACCGGATCTTTAGCTGTACGCGAGCCGCGATGACCCGGCGGCGGCCTTTTCTCGCTGAGACCTGGTGTGGAGATTATCAACGGGTCGTAGCTGACTATGCGCACGGAATGAGCTCTCTTTCTGTCTGTGGCTTCCTCACATAGATGAAGCTCCATATAGGCTGTACAGCGGTGCCGTTGACACATTGTTGTTTCTGAGATTCTCCTTGCTTTTCTTTCCCCGCGGAACCAGGGTTGAGTCGGTCCTTCTGCCCGGTAAAGATCTGAGCCTGAGGATGCGTCCGACAGTGAGGGCCTTAGCCTGGGCGCGCGCTGTGACATGAGGATCGTCGACAACGTAGCGTTACAAAAGGGCATGGTGTCGTGGGAACAGAGCGGACCCCTTCTCCACAAGTCACGATTCGAAGGCGTCCCCAGCGGCTGGGCACCACGCGACGCCAAGGCGCTAGTGCGATTCGGCATCGGCCGGGTGTCCGACAACTCTCAACTTGTCAATCTTCATGTCAATCACCTTCAAAGAGGACTCGTGCGCAGCCCTACACACCGTTCAGGCGAGCGACATCATTCTGTTATCGAACCGCCAATCATATGTGGGTGCATGCAGCCCACGCGAGAAGAGCTGCACATATGCCGAGTCGACAGTGGCCCGCGCGTAAGCACCAGGTTGTCTGCTCGCCCATTGGAGCTTCCCCTTTCCTACCAGACATCTTCGATGGCGGTTGAAACTGTTTGCATATCGCTAAGACTCCGATACCCGCTACGTTTCTGTCCACGTAACAGGAAGATGCCGTTTTGCAGCTGATACCCAACGCTCCAGCTTGGCGCTTACTGTGACGAATCCTTCCAACTTACGTACAACGACGTACAATCATTTTTGCTTTGTCGCAACGAAGAGGTGCCATTGTGTCAGTATGTCGCGTGGACCCTCTTTTTGCGCTTGCTTCCGCGCTTGTTGTGGAGGGCGTACTTTGGCAGCCGGGCTACGTTGCCCGCTGCCGCAGTTCCAGAAAAGCGAGGCGACGCCGCACCCGCGGACCCTTCGTTGGCTCACAGTGGCGCAATGCTGTACGCCGCTGATTCTAAGTTCATTGGATGTTTGCTTTTCAGGGCGATGTTCTGTTAGCTTCCGAGGACCGAAAGCTACCGAGTACCATTGAACACGTACCGTGCTTCATGTTCTCGCTCGGCGCTATTGTGACTCCAACAAGGCCAGCTCAACGGAGCAAATTTCGGAGTCTCAGCACCCGATCCCAAGAGAGGAATTGGGAACTGTCAAAACGGGTCAGCATCGTGGAGTTGACCCAAATCGTAGGGCTTGGGTCAGCCTGTTCGGTAGATCAACGGTCGATCTATCGAAAAACCTAACCTTTACCGTGGTGTCTTTACGGTACCCATGATAACTACTCCAGGAGTCCAGGAAATTCCCGCACATTGTCGTCAGGCTCATTTCCTCTATCCCCCAACGGCTACTTGCTTACGACGACGCCCCTCTGATCGCAGCACTGCCACTTCCCGCGATGTAAGCAGCGTCAGGTACCGCCGCATCTCCAGGTAACCCCTCTTCGCAGACGCGTTACGCACCTTCCCTGGAAGACGGATTACCATCGTTGGCCAGGGTAGCCCTGTAAGTAACATTGAAACTGTACCACTGAAGCCTGAGTATCACCAGCCGGGACGGATCAGAGCCATGTGCCGGATCATAGGATTAATGCGCATAGTGAAGATTGTGAACAATCGCCGCGAGATTTCGCCGTTGGAGATGATTGTGGGATGGAAGTATGTTACCGACAGTCTAATGATTGTAGTAATGAGCTAACAATGCTAGAACCAGATAGCACAAAGATGGTCCATCCTTGCCTTCGAAGACACTACTACCCGGCAGCAACGTCACAATGCGACATAAGCTCTCGACTTTCAGACTCTACAGCCGAACCCCAGCTTTCCAATTATGCGATGAACGGCATTCACATGGTCCTGCCGTGTCTCTACATCCTTACCCATGTCCTCTGGAATCGCCTCGACGAGTATCACGGCCGAACTCATGAGTACGCCGTTGTGCAAAGCCTTCGACTGATCCGAGACATCAGCAAAGGGGCCTCATGCTTCCAGTAATGCAAGCTTTTAGTCCTGCGCCACCTCAGATGAGGTGGGGCCTTGCGGCCATGCGATGTCTTCGATACCCGATACGAGCGCTGGGGTCACGCAGAGACAGACACGATACCGGGCGTCCTCAGATACTGCGGTCATTTGCCTCGGGTCAACGCTGTTCCCGGGCGTACACACTCGATCCGATGGTGATCTTGCAAATCGAGAAGCTCCAGCTTTGATCGCATGAGATCGCGCGGCCAGGTCTCGGTCTTGAATTTGTCCCGCACTTCATTCAAAAAGATATGTCTCGCGAACTCTTCGTGTAAGACAGCGGATTCTTTTTCCCGCTAATGCAAGGACTTGAAAGTCTCTAAGATGGCTATTCTCGATTCTTTTGATAGTCGCTGGCGTGTCTAGGCGTTACACTGTGTGAAGGTCACCTTGGCTATGGTGAGCTTCATCATCTCGAATCGAGCGATGTATTTCGAAAATTCCAGTAGTTGGTACGTTGTCAATTTGTACTTGCTGTAAAATGTCTAGCTTGCATCAAGTACAGATGTCCACTTCTCTTTCCACTGTGCTTTGGTGGTTTAGGCTGAGCACGAGCAACATCATTGTGAAGTGTATGGAGTGAACAAAGCCGTACGAACAACTGGAGGCCCTTTGTTGACTATCGTGGCTGTGTTCACAGCCATTGCTCTACGTTGTCGCTTATAGACATTGTGAGCGCACACTGATACCTATATTTTGTATACAATGTCTTGTGTAGGGCTATACCCGTTGAGACAACCTTCGCTGAAGAGAAATGCGTGTCTCACTACCAGTGTCTCACTACCAGTGTCTCGTATGTGCACCGAACCTTTTCATTTCCATGCAACTCTTGTAGTCCCCTTTCATGATAACGTCACTGTTCCGATCGCTTTTGAATGAATGCTCACTGGATGCAAGCAGGAAGGGGATAGGTAACAGCTGAGGCCGGTTTCACATGTGATTCACCAGCTGCCAAGTTCGCCTTCTCGCTCTCTGCTTACGGCCTTGCTTCGTCTCAAAGAATGTAAAGTCCGACCAAACCCAGGTGTAAAGCCTTCGCAGCATCAGCTCAACCATGTTCCATCGACTAGACCATCTGCCACCCCAACGCGGCCTAGATAGCTCCTTCCTTAGCTACACGACACTCGATGGCCTGCCTCACCGATCCTACGCCCTCTACCTCCTGCGACGATGTGCCTACATCGTCGGACCTATCATGCGTCGGCATGGCTGGACTGTCCCAATGCTGCATGAGCTCTCGCAGTACTCTTCCTGCCATGGCAAGTCCCTGACTCAAAAGCAGTACGGCATAGATCGTTATGGGAAGACCACAACCGAGATCATCCCGTTGGACATACAGTTGCGTTTACGTGACGATCGCGATCCACGTCGTTTTGTCCATATGAATGACTTGGTAAGGACGATGCTGCATGAGCTTGCGCATTTTACGCATGCGCGGCATTTCGTCGGGTTTTACAGGTTGAATGCGGCATTATTGAGCGAACTGGTCAAAGACGTCGAGTCTGGGGAGCTGCGTCGGCGTGTGGACTGGCGCGACGTACCAATATCTATTGCGAGAATGGAAGAGATCGTATACACGATGGCTAGAGATCTGAAGACGACCTTTGCGGAGATGATTGGCGTTGAAAGGAAGGATCGGTACAAATTTAGAGTGTGAGAGCTGCATATGAAAGCATCAACTCCATGACAGACTTGACTAGAGCAGAAAGACACGGGTTGTATGGGTCGAACGGTTAGAGACCAGCGTCTGGGTGTGGTTTAAGCATTTAGCTACGACTTGCTGAACTAGATGATAGCTCAATCAGTCGGTTTGACAGAGACTACTTCCTCGGGCGGATATCATCATCAGCCTCGAGTCGCTTGATCGTGACAACCGATGACTCAACAACCCTATACCTGATGTGCGTGTGAATTGTCGTCGGCGCCCAACCCAGCATCTGCCATCCTAGTAGCTCCCAGACTGTTCCCTCAAACCAGTCCTTGACAAAAGCGTTCTCACTGATGCCCATCCTACATGTCTGCCCATCTTTGAAGCCGGCGAACTTCAACGACCTCACCCACGATTCTCTTAGATCCGTTTTCTCCCGTCCGCTTGTACTTAGAGGTGTAAATCCGGTGTGAATGACATGTTGTTGCCCTGGATGTAGTGTAACGTATTGGCTTCTAGTCGCCCATGAAAAGCTCTCGCTAGAAAAATAGCAGATGTTCAAGGTGCTGCGCGGCACGCGTTGGCCAGTCTGGATATCGGTGAACGTGAGCCCGCCATCATGGAGAGTCTTGCCGTCGAAGAGGCTTGTGTCACGTTTGTACAATGTAATCGGTTTGTCGTGACGAAGCGTGAGACTGAGGCGGATGCTCAGATCTGTATGTCCGTCGATATCGAAAACGTCGGGCGAAGAAGTGATGACGACGTCGATTGCTGGTGTACTAGCCATTCTAATCGACGACGATGTAGTATTTGATCTAGTAAATTGAAGGTGTGAGAGCACTGACTATACTCATGGGTAATGCAAAGACAAATGCAAAGCTGCTGCCTTGACGCGTCGCGTCCTGCATGCGCCATCGTCAATCTTACAGGACTTCGGTCGGCATCGCTACTCATTCTCCCAGGCATTCATCTGGAACACTTGGGGGGCTCTTCGATCGCATTTCACCCAAGGATGTGAACACTGATAGCCACGTCGTCAGGTTGAGCAGATGTAGCCAAACGAGATATCCGATGGATGATGTCATCAATCACGCTAACCACATTTAGCGCTAGCGTGCACACGAGCCATCAGCATATATCGTCACGTACGAGCTGCGCCCACTACACCACCTCACTCTATTCATACGAAATTGCGCGACTCACTTGAAAAGAGGGATCCAAAGAGTATGGACCTGATACTCCAAGGAAGGATATACGTCCTGGCTGGCAAAAACTACAATGTTCGCACCATCCACACCAAGGGGAACGCCACGACTAAGTGAAGGTGAAAGGGTCTTTTGGGAGCAAGAACCGCGGAACAAGAGGCAGCATTAAGAGCTATCATGACCGGAACAATGAGTCTCATTTACGCCCGCTCACAATGGAGAAGTCCAGTATTGATGTGCTGAGAATGCCATATTTGGCTATCAGATAGTTCTCTGACGTCTGGAACTATCGCAGGTCACCTCGATTGGTGCCGTCTTAACCGCTTCTCGACACAATCCTATTGTTCCGTAAAGTGAACGCGCTCAAAATGGGTCGATTTCGCGTCTTCACTACGACTCACAATAGGAATTACCAGCCTTCACCACCCGATTGGGACAAGACGGCAGAAACTTGTGCAGCTCACCTCGAGACAATAGCAGCTTAATGAGACAAAAGTTGCAGTCGTCGACAGCAGTCCTCATACTTAAACTGCCCTTCCCCTTGTCAGTCTCTTTCCTCAGACCACCCAGCTTTCTCTATCACGACTTTCTCAGTTTCCAGCACGTTACCATACATTCTTCAGCACTCAGCTTCTTCCTTCCATCTTTCAATCTTTCAATCTTTACGATACCCATTACTCTTCACGATACCTTTCTATCACCATGTCTTCCTCTACTCTGCCCTCGGTCGAGCTGGTCTCACCCGGTATGCTTGAAGCTGCCACTATCTTGGCTGGACTTCGTCACGCTCGTCCCCAGGATCCCTTTACGACTCCCACAAGGTCCCCTTCCGTTATCCTCCCTTCGGTTGAGCGGGCCTCACCGATCGATGTACACATGGGAGCTGCTCGTGCTGGACACACCTTCGGCCCTCGCTCCACCGGCGCTCCTTCTCCGTCTGCTCCTTACAGCTCTGGTCGCCCTCGTCTGCTCAAGCTCAAGATCAGGCGCCCCAAGAACACCACCGCGGTCGACTCCACTCCCATTCCCGTGAGCCAGGCTGTCGGCCCCCCCAACGCAGAGTCTGGTCGCTCAGGTCTCAAGCTCAAACTGCGTTGCATCCAATCCGCCCTTCATCCTTCTTCACCCACCCCCATTGCTGGCGCTGGCCATAAGCGCAAGATCGATCAACTCGTCACTCACTCTGAGGACGAAAACGACTCCGAGGCCGATATCATGCCGCCCAAGCGTCGCATGAAGCAGACCGCCCAACCTCCTCTGCCCATCTCCGCGCCCACCATGAAGCGCAACAAGCGCATCCTGGACCCGAAGAGGGCTGACCACGCAGCACTCATCGCCACTGCCGCCAAGGCCGGCAACGAGTACTACGACTCGGACGTAGGCGACGTCGCTGGCGACGTCAAAGACACCACCAAGCCAGAACTGTTCCGCAACGTCACTTGGGGCGCATACGCCACCGACTACGCCGACGCCGACAACTTCAAGGCCAATCCTGAGTTCACTCAGTTTGTCCCCGGTCGGTTCGAGCTTCTCGCCGACGGCACCGCGTTCGACCAGAAGCACAAGCTGGTCGTCAAGCTCCTCGACAAGAACGGCAAGAAGCGCATCTTCGCCAACCCTCCTCCGCGCAACTGGGCTTCGCAGGAGGCCATCACGGCGCTGAACAAGCGCACTGTCCAGCAGATCCGGCGCAACACCAGCGTCCGGTTCCGTGAGGTCGTCCAGGCCTACGTGGCGGAGGAGCGCAAGTGGATCCTCGCCAACCTCACTGCCGGCAAGCCCACCAAGGGGTGGAAGGCCTTCGTTGAGGCGTTCAACCAGACCTTCGGCGGCAAGGTTCTCGCGGGTACGGCCGGCACTCGGCCTTTGAGGAGTCACTCAAGTCTCACCAAGGAGGTGGAGAGATTTGGAGCTGACTTCTACATGAAGGGTCGGGTGCCGGTGACGGCCAAGAAGGTGGTCAAGAAGGAGTGAGTGGTGGTGGTGGCGGCGGCGGCGGAGATGTGGTGTGGTGGTGTCCGGTCTGTGGGTGCTGGTGGTGAGCTGGGCGCTGGTCGTCCGTAAGTCTCACCTTGATGATCATTAGCTAGTTGTGAGCTAGGGCTGGTCCCTTGTAAGTCTCAACAATTCATGTATACACTCTTTGAACACTCCCATGATGGCTTTGTGATGATCAATGCTGACTGAAAGAATGATTTGTGTGCCTCCAGACTATGTATGCCAAATATACTTGGTGAACTGCAACGTGTACATCGTCTTCCCGCTGCTATAGCCTGGCGCGTTCTAACCATTGGCACGTGTATGTTATCTCTAGCCTTCACCCTTCGCACCCTGAAGCTGAGTCAAAACTCCATTGCATCCGTCGCCATGGCATTCACCCCCATTGATGCAAACCCCGCCGCAACATCGTCGACTGCCTGCTTGATCTGCTGCTGCTCCTGATGCGCCATTTCCACACACCGCATGACCTGAGATTGCGCGGTATGCGCATCAGCTGGTCGCGCTCCTTCCGTACCTGCGAAATGATCTACGACATCAAATAGCTGGTGGCCATAGCTGTCGTCTGCGCTCGCGGAATAGCGCGAAGAGTTCGCGCCATTTTTCTCGTCCTCGAATATCGGGAGGTTATATTTCTCTAGCACGGTCTTCGTCATGATTGCGATCTCGTTGTGTAAGAAGATCGCATCTGAATTGGAGTTGAGCATGCGAAACAGTGCTGGTGAAGAGCCGGACCCGCTGATGTTGCATCGGAAGACTCGTGTGATGACGTGCCCGTACAGCAGGAAGTCATCGAGACCGATGATATCCTTGAGTCTTTGGAGGATACTGTTGGTGTAACAGGACGTGTGTGTGTTCATTGTCTCTACCATTTCTACCGTTACAATCGATTGTGTGTTTTCGGTGCGGTTGGCCGTTGAATGTGATGTTCTGTCGAAAGCTTTCGATAGTGGTTAAAGTGGTAGAAGGTAAAGGGCCTTTTATAAGGGGTCTATAGGCTCTGAACTCAAGAGTGAAATTGGTTGAGTGGAACAAGAGTCAGATCATGGACCGTTCTCGGTCGATATAAGCGGCGAAGAAGGCTCTCATTCACATCGCCAAGGTAGGGCCACAATGATCGCATCGGTGAATTGAGTGAGCTTCTCAAGGGTCGCGACTCCCGCGGAGAGACTGCGGAGGTCTCAAAGCAAGATGTCGCAAGCTTCATCTTCTTGTAAGGCAAGGAGTGTGACGGGTCGGTAGTTACGATCAAAAGCAGCACCTGACTGATCAGCTAGGTAGCAAGAGATGTAAATGCAATCTATGTATATAAGTATAGAAGGGATTTGAGAAGCAAAAGAGAAAGTAATTTGCCAGTCCAATAAATACTTGCACTTACCTTGTGGTAAGTTGAGTATTACTTGTTTGTCATTATTATCTGACCTCATTCTTTTGTTCCTTTACGAGCAAAGCGTCAAAGTTAGTTTCAATGATTGTGCATGCACTTATGCCAAAGCTTGTCATACAACAGGACTACGCTGCCACGTGATTATAGGATGATGTGACCTCTATTGCGAGCCGAGACAAGCTGCGCGCAAGACTCTTGAGCCATGGTACTTCCTGAGCAGACGCTGCAGTTGTGACAAACACAGGTTCAGGTGGAACGGGTAGGTCAAAGGGCGATTGCAAAGACAACACAGCTAAGAGAGCAGCAAGATCGAGGACGCCAATCTGACCAACAGCAGGCGTGTCTTGCACGGTACTGCCAAAGTGGAGACGTGAAGCCTCAAAATCTCTGCGAGCCTGCTCGCGCTGCTCTACAGCCATACCCTGCTGTTTTAAAACCTCTCTTGCCTGAGCCATCTTTGCCAGCTCAGCTACCTTCTGCGCCTCATCCAAGCGTCTGTAAATGAGATCCACTACTACGCATCGCGCGATGAAGACATCCTCTCTCGTCATCAACGCGAATCTCTGCGTGCAATACTCATGAAATCTTTGTATCTTGGGATGCAAGAGATTCGTTCCCTCGAGCACTGATGGTAGATTGGGTTCATTTTCGTCGTACATCTCGGAGAGCAAAGCTTCGTGCCACATCTGGATTTGTGGACGAGCGCGCAGAAAGGAGATGAGGTGGGCTTTGCCTATGTGCGCCGAGTCAGACTTGCATAGTATGTGCGAGATAAAAGTCAGGTAGTAGAACCACTCCACTGCCGAAGTGTGCGACTGGATTGTGGAAAAGATCGCTGGGATGGTGTACCAGCTGGGGCGAAGGACTTTCGGCTGCTGAGTGTATTCCATTTTGGTGAAACCGCGCAACGTCGAGCTGATCGTTTGGACACGCTTTGCTTAGTCTTCATTGGGTTGTATTAGCTGAGAGAAGCTCGTGGAATCGCGCATACTCATGGAATGACCTCGATTGACGGCGTTGTGAAGGGCGATGTCGAGAAACAGTGTCTGATCGATAGCGCAAGGGATGGATAAGTCCAACATTGGACGAGACTGCATGCGGAGCTGACGCGAGTATGGAGCGCGAAGCGGTCATGATCCTTGGGACTCCAGGTAACGATGTTGTTAGTTCCAGAACGGATCGTCCAGTGCTTTACGATCCAAAAAGATGTACAGGGTACTCAATGAAAGACACAAACCACCTTGCACGTGTTAGTGCGAGAGCAATCTCTCCACCACCCCACCATACATTGGAGCACTGCGACTCTCATATAGAACAAAGACCACTATCAATTCTTACCATTTGTTTCTATAGCCATCTTCGCTCTACACTGCCAGTGCAACAGTGACCATGTCCACTCAGGAGGTTCCGGTAGAGACCCCATTCCCCGCCATGAACATCGACAATCAGCATGGCCCTGTGCACGTTCACAGTGCGACCGCTACAGTCACCAGGATCGCTAAGAGCCCACCGTCCGAGGGTTTCACCACTAAAGTCATCAAGGTCGTGATGACATGCACCGGCAACCTTGACACCCACACCATCCTCATCGAGAACCCCGATATCCTTCGCATGTTTGTTGAGAGGGAGGGAAAGATAGTCATCAGTTTCACGCAGCTTCCCATGATGATACCGATCTGGAAGTTGGAACCTGCTGGCCCAATGCCGGACAACCCGGGTGAAGAGGACACCGATGAGGACTTCGAGATGATAAGGAACGCTTGGAAGACCTGTCGACTCGTATGGGGGCGCCACGCGGGGCTCGACGAATTGAACAGGCGAGCGGCTGTGACTATGCGTGCGATGCAGGAACAGGACGAGCTTGCTGCTCGAGCTGGTAATGGTAAACAATTGCGCTCTCTTCAAGTTGGTTGTTTGTGCTTTCGAAGTCGATCTCCCCGCAATCGCGATCGCTGACCATTGATAAGCTGAGCGTCCACGAGCAGTATTTGCACCATCACTATCGAAGACGCCAACAACGACACCGACTACGACACCGCCACCGTCGACTACTCCACAAGATAGCCCACCGAGGCATCCATTCGTCCTCCCCGGCGTACCAGCTTCCAAGAATTCTCGTCGCGTTCCAAGCCAGGCATTCCCGTCGGCCCCGACAACGATGACACGTCCTATACGTATCGGTGGTCATACACTACTACAGCCAGAGGACGTCGAAGGGCATTGGAGCGACGCAGAGGAAGAGGTTGGGGGCCAGACTGCTGGCGACTCTGCATCGACCGGAGCGCATAAGCCCGGGTCTAAAGACCTTGGAGCCTTGGTCCGGCGGCGCCAGGCCGAGATTGAGGCCGCTCAGGCCATGAGGGCGGGGCTGTCGAACCTTTTGGACGCACCTCGTTTGGAGGATGAAGGAGCTGAAGATGCCGAGCTCCCTGGTCCCTCGGGCATAGATGACGAGGGAGACGCGGAGGGACAAGTCGCGAACCGGTCGGAAGAAGAGCCTGAAGATGACAGCGAAGATTTTGAAGACAGCAGCGAAGAAGCCGACGATGACAAAGACGACGGAGACTTCGGGGAGTCTCTCCCTGCGAAGGGCAAGCGCTCGCAAGGTACCCTGAAGAAAGTCTCACGACCGTCTCAGAAGCAGCTTGGAAAGCGACCTGCCAAGCCCACTCCGGTTGAAGCCAACACCCAGCCCCCCAAGTCAAAGCTTCGAAAGACTGGGGTTCCGATCTGGCCGACGACTATCATCACCACTGGTACCGCCGGACCGAGTCTACGACAGGTTATGGAAGAAATGGGCCAGATCTTGACGACAGACGCTGAGCGTCAGGAGTATATGCATCTCGTTTGGACACGCCGCCGAGCTGCCGAGGAAGAAAAGGACGCTACCGCCGAACAAGCAGTGCTTCATGACCTAGAGACATTCGTGCGTAACCACGGCATCGTGGACTTGCATAACCGGTGGGCACGATGGATGGAGTCTGGCGTGAAGACCGCCATGCCCATGTATAAACCGGCAGGAACTGGTGTGATGGATGCGGAGGAGCGGAAGACGATGTTCGAGAGGAAGAAAAGGGTGCGTCGGGGCTAGGAAGGCTTGGTGGGTTCGAGACGGAATGAGACGGTTCGGCGCGGGTCCATGGTGTTGAGACTTGATAGGGAGTCAAGAAAGCTTTGCGTATGACACTGGTTGTTAGCTGGAGGGTAGAACGTCTTCGTTGAAGAGGACAAAATAGAATGTGATGAATCCTCGATGTACTGAGCACTGCGCGCCGATATGACGTTGTGTGATCGTTTGTGTAGACCTTGGGCGTGCAACTATGTTTCACAGGTAGCCACGTGCGACAAAAAATATTGATGAAAGTGAGGTAAATGTTGGGCAGTTTCTTGAGATGGCAACCATACCTAGGTAGCCTTCTTAGGATATCGTGAAGTTTGGTGTTCAGGGTCCAAGCACGCGTGTCGCGCACGCGACATCGGCGCTAATTGCGGTGATGATGACGTCATCACTCTTCACAACACCACTGCAACCACAACCGCGCATCTCAAGTTACCTTCGGGGATATACTTCCAAGACCGCCCATCTGACAATTACATTGAGGCCTCAGGATGCTCGTCATAAGCAGATATCGTTGCCTCCTTCCCAGCGAAGCGTGGACTTCGAAGACGCCTGACAGCGACGAAGACCGCTTACAATGCTCACGACATCTTGCGATGCATGAGATGAATCCAATATTGTTACGGCCCGCATCGGCTGTGCAGAAAATTTTCCGCACGCAAATTCACTATTTCGATGTCGAGCCGCTATGACCAAAGGCTCTTGGAACTCAGCGACATTGCTCGTCCTCTTACATGCCCCCAGTATTCCAGTACGCACTTGTGTACTGACCATGACCTTTCTGCCTCTCGTAAATTCAAGAAACTCCGAAATTTAGACCCTCAAATTGGAAGTCACGGTGCGTGAAAGCTCGTCGCAAAGGAAACCAACGGTAGAGCACCCCGCCGATCACTTTCTCCACAGGCCGCCATCAATCCTATCTCTTCGACTAGGAAGCCTCGCACTCCTGCATCGGAATTTGCTATTATCGATAGGAAAGTCAATGAAATGGGAAGTGAGAGCAGCGTCCCGGCAGCTAGGTCTTGTGACAAAGAACCGAAGAAAGCAGCTAAGAAGCATGAGCCCGGCAACAGTGAAACAAATTTGCCTGGTACAAACTTCAGCGAACCCAAACCGAAGCGACACAAGACTATCAAGGCCAAGACAGTCATACAATCTCCCACTAAGCGCGTACCGCATTCTATGAACAGTCCTGCGCCACAAGGTCAAGGCACTCAACAAACTGTCGATCACCTCCGAGACAAACGCTTTCAGCCCCAAATGCGTGAGAAGGGAGGACAAAATGGAAAGAAGGACAGTACGATCGAGACTCCAACAAGGCGTTCGCATCGGAAGAAGGCTGGTCGATCGGAAGCTGGACCAACTACTCCCCTGGTAAAGAGTGTCAACAAGTACGGCTTTGAGGTATGGGTCCCGGCTACCGGATCGAACAGCCTTACGGCGAGTCAGAGTGCGAAAGAGGAGACTGCAAAACCTCCTTCTCTTCAGGAAGACGACATCTCCGATGATGTTTCGGTCGGACACACCCCCGATTCCGCGGTAGCTGATCCAGGCAAAGAGACCACCGGAGAAGCAATACCTCAAGGGCACGCCGGTGACAACAGAAAGCACGAACCGGTCAGTGATGTCGTTAGGAGCGGCGGGGAAGGGGATCTGGTGGCGATGGAGGACGTTGTCGACACCAGCTTCATTCTAGAACGGCTCAAGACTTATGATAGACGAGTGTCGACCGAGAAGAACACGGATGCGCACGATGCTGGTGACCGGGAAAAGCAGCCAGTATCCAACCAAGACGTTCAAATGATGGATGTCGATGATTCGCAAGCCAGTGTCACTGCTTCTGGGTTTCGTCATGACGACGCCAATCCCCAAGTCAATCACCATGCTTCACCAGGCTTGATACCAGAAGAGGAAGGTATCGCTGCTGAGATCAATAGCCCCCTGGCAGTTGACTTCACAGTTGGAAGAAAAACACCTGGCCCCTTGTACTGGCGTGCAGCCGACAAACGAACAGAAACTGGTGTCCACTTCTTCAACATGCCTTTCGAGGACTTGCGTGAGATGACACGACTTCAGGCTCTCGAGCGAGCGCGTCCGCAGTCATCTGATGAACTTCGCGCTTTGCTGGTCTCCGCGACTACCAGTAGCGAATCCAGTCCCGAAGAGTACACCCTCGCTGATGCCAGAGTCAGGCTCCAAGCATGTCGCAATGCGTTGTATGGCGTTCGACTAAGGGAGCGCATGGCTACAATGCGGATGGCAGCCGCTCGCGCAACGCAACAGCCGCGTAATCTCGTTGCACAGCTTGAGGCCATCACCGAAGATGCACGGAAGGAGCTTCGTGCTGCTCAAGATGCGTTCGATGAGGACTTTCGGAATGTTGCCGTCGCTAGGCAAGCCCTCAAGAATGTCACAGGTAAGCCCGTGCCAGATCTTCAGGACCCAGAGACTGAAGCGGATGCTTTGAGAAGGGAACAGATGGTTAATGAGATCAATGGGGCTATTGCGGAGTATGAAGCGCAGGTGAAAGCGCAGTGCGGTATTAGTTGAGGCGCACTTGGGGCAAGATGTTTGGCAAAAGAAGTTAGATGACAGGGCCTGTGTGGTAATGTGTAGTGGCATATGGCGGAGACGTGTGATGCAACGTATCTGGCAAGGGATGAGAGATCATGATACAGTAGTAAACTAGTGCAAAGGTGCTTCCTATATTTTCATCAAAGTGCTCGCGCGATAACGACATCGCTAGTTTGACTTCAATAGTGCTTCCTGAATGTGTGTGGGTAAATCACTTATTGATTCCATCCGTTGCAGAAGTTGGATTAATGATTGGTACTGTGTATAGTCCTTTCAATGTTTTCTCTCATTTTGGAGGTCGCGAGTGAGAGCGCAAGCGAAACTGAGACAAAACAAAACAACTCGGCGCGCAAACGCCCACCAGGCGACCATCAATAACATCACATCTCAACGAAATTTCTAGTAAACCCCCGAACATTAATATACCAAGACCAATATGCGCAAAGAAGGCACCAAAATGCAAAGCGACACACCAGACCCCCAGCAATTCTTCACACCCGCACCTACCCCACCGATCAACACCACCGCGCCTGAGACAAATGCGATGCAGACCCCCAAGACATACAGACGGAAGAGGCCACCCACGACGTCAAGCAGTCTTACCGTCTTTGAACCTCGGCTCTTCGCTGTCATGCCCGAAACCGCAGCCAGCGAGCTCATCAACACTATGCGCTTGATTCTCACCAGAGGCGGCCAGAAGAAGCACTTGCTGGCATTGTGGACGCAGAGAATCAAAGATATTCTCCAGAGGCTGGACAACCGCGAGGTCATCAGGGTGTATAATGAGTTCGCGACTGCGCACGATCATCGGGAAGAGAGGTTGTCGTACAAGCTGCCATTGGTCGAAGAATTTACAGAGGAGGAAGAAGAGGCGGAGAAGGTCGATGAAGCGCACGACAATATTGGAAGCCATGGTGCGCCCGAAGAGATTGTGGGGGAGGATGCTGTCGCCGACGATGCACTGCAAAAGAAAGCCAGATCTGAGGTCGCACAGGACCTAGATGTCCACATGGAAGACTTACCTCTAGCAAGAAACCTCCAACCTGTCACGATCGAATATGCGAACCCAAAGAGAGCACTTTCGCCTCCATCCTCATCGCCGGTACTACCACCTGCTCCATTCATTTCTGCAGCAGGTGTCTCATGCGAGAGGCATCCTCCCGGTACCTGCACGGTTGTACGAATCCATGATTTCAACGCTTTTCCCATGACAAAGATCCAAGAAGTCCAAGCCGACTATTATCGAAGCGCCATCATCGTTGCCATGTGCGTACACCGCGACAACAACAACAACCAGGTCACCCAAGTAGCAGCTAGTATGGATAACGGGCCAGTCGAATTCCTCCTCATCAACGATCCACGCATCATTGCATTCCTCGGTTTTCGCCAGCCATCATACGATCCCATCTGCCTCCAACCCAATCCTCGCCTGAATGAGACATATCAGATCTTTATGCACCCAGGTCTATCATCGCAGGATCCGAAGGCTTGGCGAGTTGGCGAGTTGGTATCGGCGCGCCATGCGTATCTACACTGGTTGGACAGCAGGCAGACCGCAGACCCGAAAGCTCCGCCCACGGTAGCGGAGGCCAAAATCATGGCGCCTAAGATAGGCCGCCGAGCTAAAGATGTGTGGGAAGAGATTGAAAGATGCTGGAATCTGGAACAGGGAACTAGTGGAAAGCGTTACCGGGAGAACAGGATGGAGTATCTCGGCGAGGACCCAAAGTATCCTGAGGGAGAGGAGAAGAGATCTTCGAGGAGTATGTGGGTGTAGGGGCAGGGCATGTGGTTGCATCTTTGATTCAGTCAGACTGCGATGAAAGTTTCGGGAAACACTGCGTCTGCTTGACATTCCAGACATGTCCTGAGCTATGCGTATACGCTAAGGCCACCTCAATGCGGTGAGCGTCATGACCGATTGTTTGTCGTGCGCGTAGTGTGTACGCATATCGACATCACTCTCTTGTAGTAACGACTCTTTCGAACACCTCCATACTTAATGAATCAAAGAGAATACAGTGGCAAATCTGGTTCCTGGTGTTAAGGTCCATAAATGGAATAAGTGCGACTCACTCTGCCACGGGTCATTAATGGGTGCATTGAACCCTAACATCACACTATATTGTCGTGTAATTCAGCTAAATTGCTCGGATTTCGGTTGATTATCCGGACATACTGTCGATGTCCTTGATGCTGGGAGGCTGTGTCAGGGGAGGGATGGGGTTTCCGAGGTTCGCTGGAAAACTTGAGCTATGACGCATATTGATTACTAAGCACAAATCCGGCCTCAAACCGCGACTGCAAACTTCAGTACTACACGTCGGCCAACAAACGTCAACGATTGCCCGATGCTACAACTCTACGAGCACTGATGTCTCACTGAATTCACCTCACAA